CTTCTCCACATCACACCACGTCACACACACATCTTCTCGTCCCATCCTGGAACTAGTCACCATTTTCTGCAGGTCCAACAACCACCCAACAACCTTTCCTCCTCGATGATGATGATGATGGTATCTCTCCGTCGAGTGGTTGGCAAACGCAAACATACAAAACAACCATCAAGTCCTTGTCTCCCACCCACCATCGCTCTAAACTTTGGCGAATGTGCTTGAGATGACAGTGGTGGAATGGAAATTAAGGCTAAATTTTGGATTGTGGAATTCCAATTAAAATTTAGGCAAGGGAGATAAAGGAACATGGCGATGAGGTCGTTGAGATCAGATGAGTTTTCGTGATGAAGAGTAATACTTGAACGAGAGTTATGAAATAAAGGAAAAAAATACCTTTTAGAAATGCTTAGTAATGGAAAATGGAGTGGTGGTGGTGGTGGGAGAAGTCCAATCAGATTTTGGTCATAAACCGAATCTCAGCCAGAACGGGATTATAAAACTATGTGTGTAAAACTTGATATTTATAGAGTGACAACATACTCAGAAGATTGAAAATTGCATTGAATTCTCCGTCGCTTTTCTCTCTCTCTCTCGTCCGCGCATTTATCCGAGGCAAAAGTTCGTGATGATGAATCTTTATCGTAGAATCAAAGGCGTGGTTCTATGATATCCTCGATTTCCAGAGTTCGACTGCTCAACCATTTAGATAAAATTGGTAGTCTGGCTTCTCGAGGAGTAAGATGTGTGCGAGCTGAGCAAGGGGAATGTGAAACCCAAACCTATTTCGCATTTCGTTTTTGGTATCAATTTCTTTCGGGATATTTATTATGTGCACTTTCTTTCTTTGTGAAATTGTAAATAAATCGCTACAGGCCTATTCTTACCGCTGCGATTATTATGACAGAGCAGGGAATCACATAATGGTCAAAGTTTTTGCGGCACAGGACGTATTACGCACATATACGGCGTATTAACGGCCACTTATTGTTAGTAAGTGCACTTTGAACTTCCATTCCATCACGGGGCCCTTTTTTGCACCGTGGTCCAGTAGCAGAAGGAGGAGGAGGAGGATGATGACTACTTGGAGAGTAATTGTCTGGTTTAGTGTTTGTCTCGTGTATTTTTTGTGAAGACTCTCCAGTTAATTAATGGTTCTTCATTAATCTATCCCCGGTATAGGCAGCTCGATTGCGCACACAAGTTAAGTGGTGTTGGTCCTGACATACTTGACTTTTTGCCCATGTTTACTTTACCTTCCATTCATCAACCAACCAATTTAATTTCTTTATCCGCAAACACTTTCTTCCTCCCCAAACGTGTGGTTTTCCACAATTGGTAAATATTTAGTAAAAAAAAACGGGTAATTGAATACTAGGAAAAAATGAGAGACAAGTTTTTTATATCCACTTTTATTTTTGTTTTATTATTTTTCCACAATTATTAGCCAGACAACAATGCGATCTTAATAAGTCCTTTATAAATCTCATACTTGTCAGATTTATCTACTTGAATGCAAAATATTTCTATTGTGCTAAATTTCCCAATATTTATCACAATGGGCTTCAAGTCGCCTGCAAGTGAGTGGTTTCAACGACGAGGACAAATTAAGAGAAGCCATGAGAACCCTCTAAACATTCAAAGTTTGGAATATCTCGAATAATGACTTTCATCTTCACTCACCATTTACGGGCTGAGAAGAAAATTAATACTTTTCCTAGAATAGAAAGTCATTCGTCTCGATGACTACGAATAATGAGTTCCATTTCATATGCATACAGACCATTGTCAAGTATTTAGTTGTTGTTTCATGGCTTCAATTTTTGAACAAAGTTCAATTTGTGCATAGATAAATTTTCTCCATCCTTGAATGACTAAATAAGCGTGGTCGCATATTTGGTGGTGTGTGTGCACTTGTTTGTTTTTGCATCCAATTGCTTATTTATTACGCTGTTTCCAATTATGTTAAAAGCACCCAAGTAATTGATAATTAGAAGTAATAGTATGAGGTAAATGTGGATGGACTAGTTTCACTTTCCGAGTTAGTTTCATAATTAGTTAGACACCATACTGTTGTCGTCCTGGCTGAAGATGATGGTTACTGGTTTATGGAATGAAACCATGTAGACCTCAGCACAGGACCAGTTGCAAAACCAATCTACCAACCAAGCAGACACTCTTCGTTTATTAATTCAACTTATTTCCAGCTCCATAACTCCGTGTTCTTCTTGCATGTTATACGTTCGTTCCATGCATTTAAAACTTTTTGTAGGACAAGAAATTTTTCCCATTTTCCACTCCACTTGGGACAAGGGTGAAGAGGAAGGATCTGAGTGAAAGTCCCATTCACTTTTACTTTTACTAATCCAATCTAACACAGCCGTTGACAATTCCCAATGACTTTCGGTCTACTTTGTATACATTCTTTTAATAAAAAAAGTGTGCTGTGGTGGATCCTTAATGAAGCCTACTTCCGACCATTGTGGAAATTCTTTCTTATGATGAGATCAGTAAGATTTTTTTACACCCAAGCCGTGGTCGGATATTACCCTGTTCGGAAGACGGAGAACAACACAAATGTTCGTTATGAGGAGAAAGGAACATTACGGGGCTTCAAATGAGGTAAATCGAAGCAGAAAGTGAACAAAGTGGATCGGAAGATTGGATGATTGGTTGTTGTGCACTTGGCTTAAAGTGAATTGTGCGATGTAGCAGGAGCAGCCGTGTTACGAAGGACGATCGGATCTTGTGTAGTGTGGATCCCACCATGGCATGAATATTTGAACGCAAACAGAACCCAAGGTGTTCCTCCTGGATCCCAGCTCGTCGTCGTCCTGTCTTTTTTCACCCAGCCCCACCAGCCATCCCATACCTTATCACGACGCTACACCCTTTTCACATCTGAGCGAGCCCAAATTTGCTCCTAGGTCTCAAAGGTGGAAATAATTTCTTCCCAATTTCTTCACAATGGTTCGAAAATGGAGAACCAGACAGACACGAGCTTAGTCACGAGAGCCAAGATTTAAGAGAACCGTAGAAAGTAAGTGAGGAGCATAAACATAAAACAGCAGAGTTTCATTAATAAATCAGCCTTTTTCAACGCTTAATTGAAACTAAGCACACGTTCCATTATTAATTCCCACCTTTGCCCTCTTCTTTCCTTTAAAGTGCAATAAGATGGAGGAGCCGAGAGGGAAGGGAGAGAGGTGAGGTTGGCAGATTATATTAGTTGACTTGACAAAAAAGAGAGAGATAAAGGACGGGAAAGCAAGGAAAAGTGCAACGTCGTGTAGGACACTGTCTTGCGGGAGGGAAAAAGAGAAAGCGAGAGAGGAACGTCCTGGACGTCGTCGTCTCCCAAGGAAAGAAGAGTCAGCCACTTGGATCGTTATGAATAAATCATTGTCATCTGGGGACAACAATGACAGATGGATTTGGTGAGTTGGAGTAAACTGGGATGAAGCAAATCAAATAAATTAAAAAAATGACCAACGTCTCTTCATCTTGACTTTTATTTGCGACCAGCCACCGCCTCACCGTCAGAAGATCCGTACTCATGCTTTACTACGCAGCACGCGTTACGCTACCCTTCAGTATTCTCTGCTATTGCAGAAATTAACGACGTGGGCGACCAGTGAGTGTGAGGAATATTTGCAAACGTATGAATGCCACCATTCGGACTAGAAGGCAGACTCCCTTAATTAAACCTCATGCGCCCTTCCATTGGCCTACGAAGACACTCTAAATACGCTGCTGTTACCTTTACTATCTGGTCTTCTACCCTTATGATTTCTCCCACACGATGGAGGCAGAAATATTACTGCCTCTAACACACATGTACTAGAACTGAACCCATAAACTGGTGTGTTTCACGTTGCAGCTCCGATAATTTATTTTAAACCTCATGAATCCTAATAGTTGTGGATGAATCTCTTGGGCTGGTTGTTGCTTATTGTGAATTGCTCCCCTATTTTCGCTCATCATCTCGCTCATTTCGAGCAGCAACTCGCTCTTTTCTCATGCTGGCACTAACTGGCTGGCTCTCGAGCGAAGGAAGGCCCATTCATTTAGCGTACTTTTATTCCACATATTCGAAAAGTGAGGCACGTTGGCAAATTGGGGAAAGCAGATACGTACGTACGTTCCTCTGTAGGTAGAGGTGGATGTGTACACGGATGGAGAGGGAAAGAGAGTGTGCACTAAATAAAGCAAGTGCTTAAGTAAGTGACTTAACTGGAGCCCCATGGGATCAACACTGCAAGAATGTAACAAGAAGGCCAAGCATCACGAGAAGAACCCCTCCTTCTCGTACGCTTCCTTCCGCTCTCTTCATACGTCCTCCTCGTACGTACGGTCGGTCGGCTACAGTTATATAAACACGAGGAAAGTGAGGCAGCAACTAAAAGCAAGTAGTTGGCTGGGGAAGCATAAAGTCAAAAAAATTGTACAAAGTTTTGACACCATTGAGATGAATGAGTTGCATTGTAAAACTATGGGAGAAGAGACTGTTGTTAAAAATGGCAAAATCTCTGTCCTCTCATCTCCCCTCTTCTCGTTCCAGCAGCCGCAGCAGAAAAGTTTTCTCCTCATAAACTTTTGTTCCTGATACGTAGATACTTTTTTGTAAAAGCTTGTACACTCGGCTGCTGCTGCTGCTCAACTTGCGGTTGATTAATGCTTATACCGTGGTCGGTTTAGTGGTATGTATGGTTCATTTTATTATGGCAGAAACTCTCCAAGATGGAGGTAAACTCACACTTGAGATGCTGCGTATGAGTAATGGCTTCCGTGACTCTATGCCCGATATCAATTGCAAGGTATGCAGTATTATGTGCGATGTAGGAGTTTTGTGAGAGTGTGAAGAGCAGCGGAGGCATGAAGAATTGTTTATAACTGATGCGAAAATTTTTAGACAGACATCTCTGCTGCATGATCATGCCTTACTGCAGTAGACTTGATCATGCACCATCATCATTTCATTTCAAGCATGTAGTAATGTGTACCTTGAGAGTGAGTTGGTGAGGGGAGAGGTAGGCTGAAGGTCCCCTGCTGCCACCCATGCCTACCCCTCCTCCATTGCCGGCCCTCCCAAGTCCCCCCTGGTGGTTTGAGACGGCGAGGAAGGAGACGAAGCTGAGGAGGGCAAAGTAGAGGGAGAAAACGAAAACGCCAAACACGACCGTCTTCCGCCACACGTGACGATGTTGGTGATGGTGGGTGTGACTAGTCCCTCCGCAGCAGCAGCAACAGCAGCAGTACAGCCTCCGCGGAGAGAATAGTTTGGTCATGGCCACACCCGGGATGCGGCGGAGGAACGGGAGTCACCGACAGCGAGGAGGTCGCCGGTCACTCACTCGCCCTGGAGCTGGTGACCTGGATCGTTTGGGATCACAAGTCTGTGTCACGAGCCGTAATGGGAGCGAGTTGAGGTTGAAGGGGAGAAGTGAGCCCCCTTTGGAGGAGGACGAAGTGACAACCGTGGAGGCAGATGTGGGGGAGAAATGGTAGTAGTACGATGAATTCTCTGGGTTCCCCGTATATTTCATTCCGAAGTGCAACTCTGTCTTTCTTCTGCTTCAAGCCAAGTTGTTGGTTCGTTCTGAGATAAGAGTCCACCCACCCACTTCACTCCGAACTTTGGTTTGCTTGGTGTCTCAAGTGTCGATCTTTCCCTAGACTATTTCTCTTTGTGACTCCTTGCCACCGCGCTATGGGGTGCACACAGTGCCACGAATATTAGTAGCAGTTTCGGTGGTTGGTTGCCGAGAGGACTGGTGTTTCTCGGGTTACTCCAGTCTCTTGGCGAGTGAGAGAGAGCGAGATATGGGCAACAGAGTAATGCGATGGTGGTAATGTGAGGCAAGATGAGGTCTACTTTCTCTCAATTTTTTTGCATTTTTGACAATCTCGGCCATACCCAGGAAACCAAATCTTTATGCTAATTTTTGCACTATCTTTTCGTCTTTTGTGTGCTATTATAGTTATTTGTACGGGCAGTAAAGGAGAAAGTCGTAAGAAAGCGAAAGGGAGAGAGTGAGAGGAGGCTTATGGCTGCCACCTCTTCGTAAGTAGTGGGCCCTCGTATCTGATTACATGGGGCGACCAGATAGAGGAGGAGGAGGAGGAGAGTGGAGTATTAACAGTGTTGTGGTCCCACTGGGTTACTTTAGCTTTATTTGTCGAACCATGCTGGTCCTGTCCAGAGTCTGAATTGAAGTCGTTTATCTTCCGCAGGATTGCCCCATCCTACAACTTTCACTTCACCTCACGCTCTCTCAAACTCTCTCAATCAGGAATGAGTCAGTGAACAGGAGCAGAAGCCGAGGCAGCAGCAGCAGGTGTAATCAATGGTCACTGTTGGGTCACGTTATTCCTCCGCCAAAATCCACAACTACACTCCTGCACCCACCGCCGTGATTAATCTCTTCGCCGCCGCCGCCACCGCCGCGCACAGACAGACAGACACGCCGGGCGAGGAAGGAACGAGGGATCAAAATTAGGAATTCCTATCGGGATTCTTCCAACGCCAGGAAGATTAGTGTAATTTGTTGTGATGGGCGACGTGATGAGTATGAATTGGATTAGAGGAGAGAGAGAAAATGCGGTGAGAGGGATAATAATATTTTATAATGAGACGTATGTGAACCGATCAAGAATGTGGACCACCACCACGAATGCTGAGAAAAAGTGTGTGTACGGGAGGAACAGTTATTTTTCTAAGGAGAGGACGATAAGCTCTGGGTGATGCGGTTGGTGAAAAGTATATGGATCGGAGAAATATTGCTCCAAATCCATGAACAAAGGCAACTAAGAGGATGAACGAGTTTGTGCAGGCTGCTGGTCTGGTGCTCGGGTCTCGACTGGAGGTTGGAGGATGTGGCACGAGAGAGAAAGTGGTAGTGAGAGCAGCAGCAGCAGCCGCCGAAGGGACGAAAGCAACCAGGACCACAACGGAGAACCTGCGTGGAGGCAGACCCACACTACTTGCAAGCAGCAGAGACCCAACTTTCACTCCACACCAGGATTTTATGCCATGGTGGTTGAGTTTTGCTACAATGTGGTAAAAGTGGTGTGTCGAAGGGGAGCCGAAACGGAGACCCGTCCAACGTAACTGCCTGAATCTAGAATCTCGATTGTAGCGAGCAACTAAAGGAAGAAGAAGAAGAAAAAAGCCCAATCCAATCCACCAAGTCCCAACCAACTTGTGAGTTGTGTCAATGGCAGTAATGCTACAAGATTGGGTCCACTCTTTCTCTCTCTGCTGCTCTCCTCCAGGGGCGTCCACCCATCCGATTATGCTGTCGAATACAAGAAGGACGTTTCTTTGAGTGATGAGCAGCCGCATAAAATCTTCCAATTTATGGCTTCATGTGGGGAAAAGTTTTCTTAAACGGACACTTACTCCCAGTCTGCGATGATGCGTGCAGGCAAGCCAAATGGGGCGATGGGATTGTGTGATTCTGCAACTCTGGCTTTTTTGAATGATCCACTCTAACTCGGTTCATTATAAATCCAGAGACGACTAACAAACGAAGGAACGAAAACTATATCTGCCAAGAGTGTAAAGAGTATAAATTGTGACAGACAATGTTTAGTTTGTGCTTCAGTTGTTGGTCCCCTTCCTTCCTCCGCCGGTCCATTCCCATTTCAACTCTCAATCCGATCCTGCAGCAGCAAAGTCTTGAGTCGGTTGCATGCATGTGGCCATATACACAGTCAGGCAGGCAGCCAACCAGCCAACCAACCAACCAACCAAAAGTCCAAAGTTGAGCTTGAGACCAAAATCCGATCAAAGTGAAAGTCAAATTACAGAAAAAGTGAAAGTGACACAGACAGGCTCTCGGAATTTGGCATGCATTTCCAAAAAATCTGAATAAAGCTGGTAGGACATCCTACTTTCCCACCCACAACAATACTGATCAACATCTCAAAGATAATATCAAAGTTGTTGTCTACATACGGCGTTCTGATACATACATATGTACCCACATGCACATTGTGCTCTGCAGACCAGACGGATCTTGTTCTTCTGTCGTGCTTCTCCCTACGCCAAGACGCGCATCACTTCGGAAGAGGAGGAGGAGGAGGACAAAAAATGGAAATTTCTGAATGAAGATAAGATCTCGACATAACCATTTTATGAGGGCTCTTGTACCAGACTTTTCGTGACATATCTGCCGCTCTGTGGCTTCTCTCTCTCTCTGTGTCGCACGTATTTATGTGTGCCTGCCTAGAATTGCATGACGAGAATGCTGGGGTCATGTATTGTAGTACCACTCATAATAACAAGAAATTGAAAATCCCCCCTTTTGTAGGTTCCCATCAATATTTTCACAATAGGCGTGTATGACATGTCATGCAAAAATTTTCCGAGTACGACATTTTTCCACTGTGTCCTCGCTGGATCCCATCTATCTCGTGGGTAGGTAATAAAAGGCATCATCGTGTGGCAGAAAATCAAAATCAAATTTCTGAGGAAAATATGGATTGGAGCTGATCAATGAAACGAGGCAGCAGTGATGCGTAAGTGCTTCTAATTGTTACAGCCACATTTTCCAGAGAAATGGAGCAGCAACAACATTTTGACTTGTAGTGGAGAGAACGTGTTTCTCCCCCGGTTTTGGACGAGAGTGAGGCCAGACTAACCAACAGAGGATCAACATTTGCATAGTCATTCACTTCGAACCACTTGTGCACACTTTTGAACATTTTGAACACTTTCAACCACTTTCAACTCAGCCAACAACGGATTCGCCGAAATTCACGCCAGCCAGGCATCCACCTAAGCTTCTCCGCTTTCCCTGTTGGTGTTTCTGCTAATGAGCTGTATCCTTTGGTCCGTCCGTCCCCTTTGTAACGTGTCCACCACCTCGGATAGAAATTTACAATCAAATCCACGTCACACCGTAAATATATATCAATCGCCTTCCATACTCTTTGTCCTCCATGCAAACGCCGCTGTCTGGTGAAACTCGGGATTGGGATTGATTATTTAAGCTCAATACTGCATAGATTTCCCTCGAAACGAGTAAAATAGGAACATGGAACGCTTTATTTTTAATGAACACAAAGAAAGTCTCCATTACACATGTTGACTTTTATCTCATGAGCTCACTCGTATGCACTCACGAGTCTCCCTACAAACTCCCCTCGTCTAGAAAAAAATTGTTTTTTATAAAAAAAATGATAATAATAATTCCGTTTCGCCTCAACTGCAAGGCATCTTCTTCGCTACGCTACGTTTGCTGCTCAAAAAACTCAAATTAGCTTTGTTTGTATGGATAACAAGCAACTCACTGGCTCAACTACATAGGTTTATCGATGGGAAGGAGAAGAAGGAGTCGGAGAGCGTTGAAAAACTGACGATCAATTGATCCGCTTCCAATCCTAATGGTGGTTGAGCATATATCTATCTCTGCTTGGTCCAACTAACCGGGACGTCGAGGTTGTTGCAGAATTGGAGAAAATTCCAAATTGAAAATCGGAGTTGTTGGAAACGAGGTCGTCCTTGTTGGTGGTGGGAGAAATCAGCGAGGGCTGAGTAGCAGCAGCAGCCGGAGAAGCACTATAGGGCCCACTGTTTGTGGAATGGAAGCAGCAGACTAAAATTATAAGCCGATTTACTCTACTCAATTTACTTCAAGGTAACAGAGGTAATGGAACAAAGTCAACGTGTGAAAAGTCCATCTTACTTTCACGATTCGCAATTGCTCCTCTGTGCTTTCATCAGCAGAAGGGGAAGCACACCAAGCTAAATTTCCTTTGACTTTTATACATTAGTTTTGTAAATCTCATCTCCCCAAATGCCATTACACCGTGGACGCCAGTCGTGTTTTATAATTTCTATTTTAGTTCGATTTCCCAAAATTGTGACGGTATGCTGGTGGTGAAAACCAGAATCCCCTCAATTCCATTATTTCACCAATTCTGCGAAATGCTCAGCGGTCCTGGTGGTGAAAGTAGTTTCCTTTTGTGCGATTTTATTCTCTCGGTTAATTCAGAGTGGGAGACGGACGTGCATACCTTAGCAACCAGCCATCAGTCATGAGACTGCTGCTGCTAAACTACATGTTGTGGTTCTGAGAGCGAGATGGTACAAATTTATCGAAGGGTAACCTTTACATCGAATCTGATTGAAGTTCCACTCCAATGCAGTTCAATTAGCGTTCACTAATTTACCTTTGGCCTCACCTTTCCTGGTTTCCTGGGCTTAAACACAAGGGCCATCCAGACCCAGTCAGTCATGCCGTTGTCTCCTGCCTGATCAGTATTATTTACTTGCACCAACATCATCCCACTCATCTCCCAGCAGTCGGTGACGATGGTGAAAGCGAGAACAAATGGGTTGGTGGTGGTGGTGACGATGGAGAAGAATAGGATGATGGCGACGCTTGTCTTTCGTCTTCTTCTGCCTCTCCCTCCATGCTCACACCGTGCATAATAATCTGACTGCAGTAAGCCTTTCAGAGCTTAAAGAGAGCAATATCTCGCTAGTCGTAGTAGTGGCTTGGCTTAGGAGTTGGACACTCTTCTCCCTTATCCAGCAGAGTTGGAAAAATGGCCGGCCTACCCTTCAATACAGACACGCAAATAATTTGATTCTAGATAAATGAGATGATATAAAAAGTTACTACAAAAGACATAAATTTCATAGCGTGAAATAAGGAAATGTACAAGCGTTATTATTGACTTGGATGATGCTAAGAAGAGGAAAATCCTATGCTACAAAAAAAGGGATTCGTACATATACATGCACAGCACAAAGCCCTGTGTCAAGTTGAGAAATATTATTTCTTTACAGAACTTGGTAGAAAATATTTATTAAAAAGCACATTTTCAGAAAGAAAATGCGTTACTATTTGTGTCTGACGGTCATATGTACTACAAATGTCAAATTAGCCTGTGCAGTCGTCTCTGTCGTCATTGGGTTGACCATGGACTGACGAAAATGTGACTTGACGTCAATTTTCAGACACATCACTCACAAAACGATTGAGAATAATGATTGTGAATGGTTGGCACAACTGGTGTATTTGCAATAGTTGAATAGAAATCAACCACAAAAATACTTAACCAATCCCTACCCATGGATTCAATATTGATTAAAATTAAAATTTAACGAGTCCACACATGTAAAGTTCAGCGATCCTTGTACACCAATGATGTCATACAATTACTCTTCGTCGCACTTGTCTTAGAGTGCAATGTGGGTTGCGTTCGTCACCAACATGATCAATTTTTAGATTTTATCTCAATCGGGTAATAATCGTCCATCATGGATGGCTACTTGTACATACTCGTAGAGGGCAAAAAGTGTAATCCGTGCAGTGTAAAGTACGGCTTAATGATTGCCTCCTCCTCCTCTCTCTTGTCAAGGTGATCGTATGTATGTTCCTTCGTGAGCAATTTATTTAGCATCAAAAAGTTTCCTTTTCACGAGCAGTACTTGTTTCCTTGCGATGAAACTACACCTTTTCATCTCTTTTTTTAGGATGTAGCCTGGTGTACAAAATTTCATCGCGAGCCTATTCATCCAGTTGAGCTTTGAACCAATCAAAATATATCGAACGCACTCGGGCAGCTCACAAATGTATACATTTCTTTTGAATTTTCCACAAAATGCAAAGTATTTGCAAAGTTCAGTTGCCAAACTTGATCGAAAAACGTGTTCTGAATACCAAATTCTCTTTTCTTTGCAAAACTGATGATTGGTATTTTATTACTCGCAAAGCTTCTTCGTGTGCAACTTTGTTAAGTAGGCGAATAAATTCTTCAACTGGAACAATTAAATTAATCAATTCAATTGTTTAAGTACGTGGATGAGTGTCCTTGCATCTTGAATCGGACGAGTCATTTAGCAAAGTTAATTAATCACAGGTTGTTCCATCCAATATGCAAATAGTGTACATTTTGTTTGCATACCATCAAAATGCATACGTATCTACATGCAAAATAATTTGTTTGCATCCGGGTAAGTTTGTCCTCCTTTCTCGTAAAACACAGGCGACAAAGAAGATGCTTCTCAGCATTTGGCAAAATGAATATTTCTGTGTCCTCCTCGACTAACCATCACTCAATTTGTTAATTTACTCTCATCCTAATCTAAAGAGCGTAAAAGTAGTCATTTATGCCTGGAATTTATTCCCATTCCTTCCACACGTACGTGTCTACATACATAAGCTCACGTACTTTCTCGTTTGATACAACTCAAACTGGGCCCGAGTAGTTAATTGTACAAACACATTAAACAGTGGGCAAGAACGCGTTTACTTTTGCAGGTGAACTCATCAAGATGCTGCTGCTACTGCTGGGCATGGTTCAATAAGTTGCCGATGCTAGTTGACACGACTGTCCAGCATGTAATTCAAGCAGAATTGCCTCCATCCAACTAACCAAGAACGACACTTTGCCATGTTCTTCTTCTTCATTGGATGTTGCAAGCCTGCTTTAGTTGAAATAACGTGAGAACAGGTGCACTGTCTCTTTTGTTGTTCCTTAAGCTTTATTTTACGATTCTTTCGTCTCCATCCGTGCAAAAGTCGCATTAGTTTAGTTGGATCGGCTTCTGCGGTTGCAATGGATGCTGAGAAATAGACAATACATTTGTTATGACTGCCTCTTTCTTACGCCATAAAAATTTAATTGATTCCTTTACCCGATATCGTATTACATGGAAAATTATGTTTTGATAATGCCGATGACTCAATTCATTAAAATTATTTAGCAGTCGCATTCTTTTATTGGTCCATAACTAAGAGCCGATACACGTTGTTTACATTCGAATTCCTCTCAAATTGCATTCCTCTCTTTGAGGTGTGAGAACAGAGAATTCGCCTGTCAAAACATTCCACGGAGGAATTAGTGTCCGATTCGTGGAAAAGACTGGAAACTAGAACGAGGAAAGTAGGCGGTTGCATTAATTGCGAGTCTGGTAGTCGGACTCTCAAAGTGGTTTTGGTTTGTTTGAAGTAGAAATAAAATTGGCACTTGGTGATACATCTTTACCCACATGGTGATGACGTGACTATAAATTTACCTGCTATCCAAAGTCGTTCCAGGGTTATTTGTAGGAATTGTTGTATGTGGTCTTGATGAATTCTTTTTTTCGACGAGAGCTCGAACACTGGAATACGGGCAAAAGTCCCACCGACCTCTCATTAACAGAACGGCCACGTGAAATATTTGCCCGGATTTTGTATCCTCTATATTTCCAGCTTGTACCAGATGCCCGGGTTTCATCCCAACGCTCCTCTGAGGATCTGGAAGAAAGCTGGGTTACATCTCGTAAACCGAGTCAGTTTTCTCCCGAATGATGTCGTCTCTCTGCCTTCCAACTCCCACCGTGTTTCTGGTGGAAATAACGTCCTGCAACGAATAGTAAAGTAGCTGATATTTTGCAGGACAATATTTTTTAAAAACTGTCAAACTATGAATGTGTATAAATATGTGGCAGGACAATTTATTAACTATGTCCTCAACAATTTTCGTATTAAAATATCGATAAAAAAAACACGTATGCAGCAGCATTAACTTCTCCACGCAAGGATCAACAGGATGCAGTCGTGGAGCAAATTATTACACTGTACATATTCCAACGTCAATGATTCACGAGAAGTAGAAACCTTTAGCAACACATGTTTGCTAATATTATCATGTAGCGTTAGTTATTTAACTCCTCTTCTTCATAACGAGAAAACATGATTAACTTGGACGAAACCCAGGCACAATTTGCAACAAGAACGAATATGAAATACTAATCGTTCACATTCCCCACATACATACGCCAACAAGCATCTCTTTAACATCCGGCTGAACGATTGTACGTTACGTACTACGTAAAAGTACTGCATGATGCTACACAGCACACAATGTACTTACATGCTCCACTTCTTCCTATGCACGTTGTCTATTTCATTTCATTCATAAAACTTCATTGAGTCATTCACATCGGAACATGCAGGCTAATACCTGAAAAGCATCATTATAGCAAACCACCAGGAGCATTGTTGTTACACAGTTGTCTGTACTTCTGTCTGTCTGTCATGACGTGGGAGGCAATCCGCATTATGATGCATGCATACCGCAAACATTGTTCAATATCTGGCGAGGATGATAATTTTTTAAATATTATTATCAAATATTAGCCATACTTTGGCACAAATGAGACCATAAAATCAGACAATTCTCAGACATCTTATCTTCCGATATGTTTTCACTGATTTGGAAATATTATTTTTTATAAAAAACAGACCTTAACAGGAAGTAGGTTCAGTAAGAATGCGGATACAACGGTATGAATCAGATGAGATAAAACCACTTTTAAAAAAATAAGCTAATCCAAAGGAAGGAAATTTTAAATTCTTAAGTTAATTAAGAAAATCCTAATCCTATTATGACAAATCCAACAAAGTGCTTGTCCTAATTCCGGAAAAATTCATCACAGAAACGAAAGTTGGCCTCGCAAATATTTTTTTTGTGGTGAACTACAAATGTGTGTAAAGTTCACCGACAAAATTATTGGACTTGTGTCCAATTTCTGCCTCCAGTCGTACCTAATTCACATGACTTCATAAGTGCATATTTGTGTAGGTAATATAATTTATTAAGTAAATCTCCCGGCAGAAAAAGAAGTCTTAATGGTTTTATTAATTGCGTAATCTTTCCATCTTTTGCATGAGGTAGACACGAGGCATTTTTTAAAACTGCAATTTTAAGCAAAATATAGATAACCGCCTGCTTAATTATCGCCTTTCGCATGAGCGGCCGGATGATCTTTTTGACGGATAAGAATGGCTGGAAGAAGATTGAAAATAAAACAATTTCAATTTTGCTAATTAATCAAACAACTGCCTCTCCTCCTTTCATCTCAATCTTTTGGTCAATTAATTAGTCGAGGGGATGGAGATACATTAAAAAATCATAAAAACTTAAACCGTGACTCCACTCTCAACTTTGATCGTCGACCGAGATAAGAAATGTACGTATTTTATATGCACACCATTGAAAATGGTTTTAACTGAATTGATAAAAACTGGCTTGGCTCTCCCACAGGTGCTAAGCTAACCTTTACATGTGGATAAAAAAATCGGGGAATTTTACCAAGAAAAAAAATCATTTAAACAAAAGTGCAGTTGAAACTAGAGTCGAATATATCGTGCAGTACTTCCCATACATTCGTTTGTTTCATGTTATAAGACATTAACTTGAGAGTGCAAACGGTAACCAAATGGGTTGACCAAAAGCAATAAAAGTGTTAATTTAAAAAATAGATTCCAAACACTTTTAAGAGAATTGTTCTCTAAAAGAATGGAAATTGAAATTTACAGACTCGAAAAAAACGTAGGACGAGACGAAGATTATAATTTTTTGCATGATGATTTCGTAGTATGTATGACAAAACCTTTGGGGGCGACGACAGGATGCCGGGCGTGAGTTATAGGGACGTTGAGAGCGAGAGAGGGTAGGCTTATCATGTTATGCGATAGTAATTGTCTGCTCCCCCGGTCAATCTCGTTTATTCATCTCGATTGTTCCTTCCACCAACTGTGTTACAGTTACCTCCTGCGATAGAGGAATTCATCATTCCTTCACCACTGACAGTAGGCTCATTTAACCATTTAGCCATCCATCTTTCTGAAATTATGAGCAAATTTTGACTAATTAATTCCCAAAGTTAAAATGTACCTAGGTACATACATAAATGTGCATACGGCAATCGAGCCAAGTTGGTTGTGGCCGGATTCTTAAACCGATAAAACAACAAGGCTCTCAGACAGGTGCAGGGCGATACTGCATTATTTTCAATTCTGTCTGACTCAACAGCAACCGTGGTATACAAATATAATAGAAATTCGTACAATTGTGGTATCCGTAAGCTATGGGTTCATACATAACTCTTTTTTTTCACTCAGCCAGCACCGGCCGGAACAAATCTATCTTTGCTCTCATCGTCTCGCCAAATCCGCACGACAATGTCATTTCTCTAATCATTGTTAGAAGGAGCAAACAATCCGTAAATTTCTAGGAAAAGTGTAAATCTAAATCCATCTTATTGCTCGTTATACATGTCTGAATGAGTCTCATCAAAATTCAATGGTTCTTAATGAGTGGAGAATTTGCAACCACGCTAAATAAATACAAATAAACACTTTTTCCCAGGGCACCCGTGACGCTATATTCACACCATGGCAGAAAAAAGAGGTATTTTTGATAAATAATTAATGATTTTCGTCCTCCGTCCTCGTTCTCGCCTAGTTTTTCTTTAACAAGTAATGCGTCCAACAAACTGCCATCATTCGCCACCGCATTCACTTATGTAGACTTACTTGTTGGTTTCTCTACTTTTTCAAAGTTTCTTGGCCAGCCAACCAAATAGACGGAACAATTAAGCAAATGCACACCTCTGAAGGGCCACATTCTGCAGTAATCCACCATCACCAGCAACATCTGCCTGCCGCAATTCCTTTCAACTTGTTCCCCAACTCTAATTAGTACTTACACTTGATTTTCTTCACAAGAATTTCAATGGAATGCAATTTCACTTCACACGCAACGAACGATCTAACGAACGAACGAACGAACGAACGAACAGAGTTGACAGAAAACTTGGGAAATATTGAATTAAAAGAATTAGTGAAATACAGTTTCACAGAAGGGATTTGATTCGCTCGCATGAAATTCAATGAACACCTAAACTAAACTAATGCTTCACTCGGTCATTATTATTCAGAGGGAGGCAATGCAACGTGGATCGCTTAGGAGGGGAGCTTGCGAGGTTGATAATAACAGATCTTGATGCCCTTTGGATATGTGGTAGGGTCTCATGAGTGTACTAAAACCCTGAAGTGGTTTGACTCCATGGCCCCATTTGCGCCCGCCACACCCACTCAAAAATGTCCAAAAAACGCTTTCACTCCAGTTTTCACTCATTCAAATCCACGCCAAAAATCCAATTTTACTCGGATTTTGAAATTTCTTTCACCATTACACTCCCAGATAGTTGCTTTCTGCAATCCAATATCAAACTCAATTTTTTCGAAATTTTTAGTATTTAAAAAAATTGCAATTCGGAATGAGGATTGTTGTAGTAATCAACAACGCAAATTATGCCTGCGAAATAGTCATTAGCAAAATTGAGTTTGATATTGGATTGAAGAAAGCAACTATCTGGGAGTGTAATGGTGAAAGAAATTTCAAAATCCGAGTAAAATTGGATTTTTGGCGTGGATTTGAATGAGTGAAAACTGGAGTGAAAGCGTTTTTTGGACATTTTTGAGTGGGTGTGGCGGGCGCAGATGGGGCCATGGAGTCAAACCACTTCAGGGTTATAGTACACTCATGGGTCCCTACCACATATCCAAAGGGCATCAAGATCTGTTATTATCAACCTCGCAAGCTCCCCTCCTTAGTGCTGGCACACAAACAGTATTAAGCTGCATGAAAGTAATACGTGTAAGTAAATTATAACCTCCTCCTCCTCCTCCTCCTCCTCGCTAGGTGTTAATTGGAGCACTTGTTTGGGTTGATTTCCGCTAACGTTTCGTGAAGAACCGCGCCTTGTTTGCACTTTAAACCAAGCATTAACTTATCTTCATGTCACTTGTAGCACAGAGCGTTCTTCGAACTAGTGCGATAACTCGTCCGTGGGTAAAATATACGTGGTGCATGCGGGTGATGCGAGTGAGAAGTCAGTGACCAATGACCGAGCGCTGTTATGTGTAATGGTCATGTAATAATATTAATAATATTAAGCGGCGGCGGTGGTGCTGGTGGAAGGGTGGATGGACACAATATCTCACGAAACCATTTATTTTACTATTATAGATTCCACCAGTCGACTGACGTCAAATTAGGGCCAATTCAATCAATGCAATGTGAGAACATTTTACAACGCTCAAAGCCCCAACAACCGCAACCCGTACATAATAAGTTCGTAATCCCTCTTCCACTACTTGGACTCCTAATGCAAGTACGTACGTATGTACGCAAGGTATGTGCATTTTGATGTGATAAACCCTTTTCTTTCTTCCGCCGTGCAAGAAAAACGCCAAGATTTAAAAACCGGCTTGCAAAAATATGAGAGGTTTTGGATTAAATAACCGCAAATGAGGGAAACAGTAAAGAAGAAACCGATCATAATTTCTAAATGAGCACCGAACAGCCAAACTTTTAAGAATAATATGATGAACGAACACGCCGACTTTTCTGAGGAGCGAGAGAGACAAAGTCGACACATAAAAGATGGTCTCTTCAATTCATGCAAAATGCTAACAATCAGATAAATCACAAACTGTGGCATTTTATTCAAGGATGACTCCTAAACATGATAAGAGTCCCGGTGGTGCATATGTATTTTCATATTATGCACACCTTTTGGGACCGTGCTGCACAACATGTACTCGTACAACGCAACTTCTCGTAACAGAGTCTGCACTTCCACCAATAAGTAAACTGTCTGAAATATTTTTATTTCACGCATTGCCCTGAATCGAATACGGGGACATAGAATAAAGCTGACTTTACTTGAAATACACGGGCGCAGACGTGTTTAATCCAATTTAACGGCCACAACCACCTGTCACATATCTGCTGCTTGGCTGAAAATCGTTCCCGAGATAATTAATCTTTATAAACTTTATTCACGCAGATTTTCTACGAATTATTATTTGCTTAAGGTACATATTCTCTAGGTGACAAAGTTGGATATTTAGTCAGATGTACCTACTTAGTCAGCAATCTCGTTAGTAGAAGAGTTACTAATTGTGTCCAAGAATGCAAAATTGTGTACACTGTTGAGACTTAATTTGTCCTCATGCCGTCGTCGTCGTTGCTGGTTTTTAATAACCCTGCAACCATCCCACCAAAGCTATAACCCGTTTATGCCTGATCTCCTTATTTGCAACATGCAGCATCAATAATATTCTGGACAATTGAGACAAAATGAACTAGATAAAGGGAGGAAAAAACGGCTCCTTCTTTTACACACAATGCACTCAATTATTATTCTATCGTTCAAGGCAAATCAGTATTAATACGAGGTATGAGCATATGCAGATCCTTAATAATAATTCTGAGACGACGCAGCAGAAAAAAACGTGGCAGCAACCATGTACACATATACGTCGTGGAGCTCCTTCCTTCGCAGATTTCATGACACAACAACGAATTACAATTTGGACGAGAAGGTGGGCCCGTTGATCGAAAGAAAAACACTTTGGCCAATTAATTATTGTGCCTCATACGGTTAAACATCTTGCACCCAGAAGGTTAGCCTGGAATGCGTACACCATGCATAACTGTAGTTTGTTCATGTGTGGAAAATCAGTAATAAATATATCGATGAATCCCAAGATGTAGAAAAATTGTCAAAATATTTGGAAAGCAATTAGAGTTGAATTGTACAAATACATAAACCAACCTCATCATCACCATCCTCATCGTGCTCCTCTGTGAGCGAGTCCATAAAGATTATTTCTGTGCTGCATATGGTAAAGACACGTCAATCTCAACTGGGCTACGCTTATGTCATCCTTTAAACATACCTACACAACACATGCACACGAAACACACAGCGTCAAGTCAAAACAAAAAGCTAGAGGCGAGTTTTATGGACAACTTCCAAGCCGAAAGCAAATCATAATGACTATAAAGTTTGCTGATGACTAATAAGAAAGAATAGACGATGATCTGGGGTGGGGTGATGATGCCATCCACACGTTTCTGGGGTTTTATTCTTGATGAAAGTTATCCTAATCGGATGGTAATCACTTATTTTGTGTGTGCAATATTTGACTTGTATAAATACGCTCATGAATTTATGACATGTAGCGTTTCCGCCCCGCAGACAATTTTTGTTTTGCCATTTAATTACGGAAAGAATGATCATGAAAAGAATTATTTTGCAATTCTTTAAGGAAATCACCAGGAGGTTCAGTGACAGATTGTAGGATTTGATGTAGTGAATATCATGAATTTTATATTTGCTTATGAATTTATGTTTAGATTTTTTTTGTTCCAGAAGTGAACTGGTTTGAATTAAAGTTTTATAACGTTTTTGTGTGTGACACAGTTCATGAATACTTATGGAATTTGAACTACCTCACAAAAAATATACACTTTACTCACCACACAATTGTGAGGTTGACGAATCGGATCACACGACATACGAATGACAAAACCTCCCATTCTGGGTAAAGTGGGTTGATTAAAATTTTCAATGTACAGTATAAACTTCCAGCAACCGCATATGTACATATCCCACATCTCGTTCGACTAACACGTGAACATGACTCATATAAATCTTGAATCCTTATCGGCTATGAACTAATCAAATAATTTTCAGTTAATGCAGATAAACTAATAGCACTGTCAGTCGTCTCGTTGTCCAAAATGTGGAAATGTTAGGGCACGCACGTTCTTTTGCTTTAAATCGAACTCTGTAGTCTGACAAGTTGCACATATTCTAAATTTCGTAAGTGTCTGGGTCCATTAAAATTTCTTTGGTTGTATGAAATCATTAAATCCTCGCATATGTATGCATACGTACATTTTATGAAATGTTATGGATAACGGTAAGATAATAATTTTCACCATCTGAGAGATTGCACGGAATTATACGTAGCACTTAATTTAGCCACGTCGCATAGTCTCAATTCCAATTCATGCGGTTATATAAGAGACAAATTCATCCCAACGTTCAAAATGTACATATGCAACGAAAATTGCTTGACTTTGGACATTTTCGACGATATGAACTTGATAATGGGCATGGGATGAGCTAGTTCTCTCCGTAACTTAATGACTCAATTACTGTCTTATTTGCTTGAACAAGTATCAAAATGTGTCACTGGAAGAGACGGTTCACATTTCCTCACTCATCACTGTGTGTAAGAAACAGACTTTATTTCCATGAAACGCGACGTGTGATTTCCACTCTAGTTATTTTACCAAGCCTTAATCAGCAAGTATGTACATACGTATGCAACGTATATAATTTGTTTAATTGATATGATTGCCCATCAAAGGCTTCACAAAAGATAAGGAAGATTTCCTCGGAGGTTAAAACTCAAGAGGTTATGTTCGTGTCAACCTATTTCTGCTGTGATATATATTTGAGGCCGTGGTGGTGGGTAACTAACTAACTGCTAATAAATCACGTGAAAACATTGGACGCAACATCTCAGCTTCTTATTATTACATATTTATGTACGTGCGATAATGCGGCCAATTTTCCCAATATCGCGTAATGTGTCCAATCATTACAGCGAGAAGAGAGAGAAAAAAATGGGATTCTGTAACATATGGATTTTTGTAACAATTGTATCAATCTTCTTACCTGTTGTGGTGATGGTAGAGCTGAATGACGCCACGAATGATTGTCCAGATCCAATTCTGACTATATATGGAATTTTTATGATAACACCGATTGTTCTGGTAACTCATGGGTCTTGCCATTCCCATCTCGTTTGCACATTTCCCCTGTGTGCAAATTGAGTGTACATATGTACTCTTTTCTGCCAAAGTTGCAATCTCCAACTGTCTTTGCTATTCACGAATATTATTCTTTTATCAAAGTCTTAAACCTCACGGGAAAATAATCCCCCTCGTTTGATTAACATTCGGCTTGCTTATTGTTCTCATGAAACCGAGTTATTTTCATGAAAGAAAAGTAGCACTGAGGAGATGAAGACTCGGGCCGAGATTCGCCAACTCACAGCACCAACAACCCCTTCACTATGACAGTGGCGAGACTACTGACGAAGTTGTGAATGAAACGAGGAGAGAAGATGAGCACTGGCGAAGTGCATCGGGGCTTATCTCTCCTTCTTCACAAGCAGTAGTGGTTAAACCAACTAACTAAATAAAATTGTATTTTACCTCCACATCCATCCATCCAACCTCCCATCCACTTCATTCGTACGTACTCTTGTTCATTAGACTTGTTGCTTGCTTACTTTGCTTACGTTCGTTACGTTCACTTGCTGCTCCTGCCGTCTGTAATGATGAGCTGATGGGGATTTGTTGGTGGGGATGATGATGATGATGATGATGGTGGTGGTGGGGACATTAGCATAGTTTACTTCACCCAGAAGAGCTGCACACAGGTTCGCTTTATTGAGTTGGTTGGCTGGTTGTTTTAGCAATGTTGGGTTGGTTCGTTAGTTAACTGGCTGGTTGGTAAGTAAGTCAGTTAAGTTGGTTGCTTTATGAAATAAATGAATGAGTGGTGGTGGATGGACGGGCTTGCAGAATGAGAGAGGAATGAATGAAAGTACCAGATAGATCCATGAATGAAGGATTGAATGATATGCTCTGACGGGTTGTCCACCAACGTGAACCAATTGTTGAGGCAGAGGAGTGAGAAGGCCAAACGGAAGACAAAGCGATGCATGTATCGCCACCACTAACAAAGGACCGTGTCGCAGAAAACCAAAGGAGGAGGAGGAGGAAGGCAGCCAACAGCCTGGCACAACAACCAGAAATAACAGTTCATCACACAGACGATGAACAAACACTTGTTGCATTGTTGCTTCTTCTCAATGAGAATCGCAACAGCAGCAGCAGCCCAAGAATGTAATAACAGAATGCAGAACAGAGAGTATCATTGAATGAACGCCGTCCAGATTGTGAGAGATAGTAAATTTATGAAGCAGATTTATGTATGAATACCACACGACTACGCGAAAGATATCTGCTACGAATACCCACCTGCATGCCTACGTCCGTCGTACCTACGAGCCTTATGCAGTGAGTGAGACCACGACGAGTTTTATAAGGGCGAGGTGATGCTGTGGGATTTGCCGGTTGGCGAAAAATGGCAAATAAAAAAAAACCCAACATACATACATATTTTCTCAACATTCCTCGCAAAACTCATCCTGCTGCAATAAAAGAGGGTTTAATGCATAAGGATGAATGAAATCATGAATACTTGGTAACACAATTTCCAACAACCATTTGCATGTTACTTATTTGCATCCGTGGATTTGTATTTAAACGACTCTAATACATATTAAATGGGGATATTGGTGAATTATTTTAAAGGAATTAGCACGATTATTGCCTAATTGCAAAAAATAGTAAATCACGGTAGTAGATAATACGAGTGATGCATGTAAATAGTATTTCGTTACCACACATCGTCTGTGGAATGTTATTTACATCCGTCTCGTCGCCAGCAAAAGTCTAATCCTTACATACATATTTAGACACCAATTGTCTTATGTGGTCGTTGTATTATTCCACTTATCTCTCCACTGTCTCTGATTATGCTCGCTGATGGCTTTGGCTTACTTTTATTGACCAGGAGGAGATTATTCAATTGATGAGACAACCAATAAAGTTTTCCTGTGGTGCTCCATATATTTATTCATTTATTATGTATGTACGTACGTAGGCTTCTGCTGCTGCCTTTTTGGTGTAGCTATGTACCTTCTCCCTGGTGGACCAGAAGTTTTGTGGATTTATTATTTTCCTCCAGGTTTAAGGGTAGAAATCAATTACATTTTTCAGGAGTATTCTCAACCATAAAAGAGATTTCAAATTAGAAAAATGATAATACGCCGGTCCTCCGACTGCGTTAATAGTTCGTTAATAGTGCCAGACGGAGTAAGTAATTCAAAATCTCTGTCTAAATAATGCAGCGGTGGGGATGGAAGGAAGTCTCGGAGACAATATATGCAGTCGTTTAATATTTTATTTCATGAGGCTGGTGGTACTACTACAGATATCCACTTGCATGGACGTAGTACTGACTAAATGTTATATTTAACACATAATTTCTACTTAGCATCTTTTGCTATCAGCATTCCTGAGCTGAGGTAACGGCATGCAAGCGCATCTCTCCTGCCTGACTCAGTCAGTCGGTGTGGTTGATGGATGCAATTCTTGTTCGCATAATGAGAGAAGAGCAAAAGCAATCAGACAATTATTTCAGGCATCCTTTGTACTCGTCGAACGTCGTCCTGTTTTTCCTCCTTCTCTTTTCTTCGTATTCTTCTTCTTTGGGCTTATTAAATAAACTAAAAAAGTCGCAACTATTTGCCAGCACTAGTAACGACCCAACAAACAGCACTGGGCTATTTGTGGTTTCTCTGTACTAAAAAATTGCTACATGCCTTTTTTCTAGTACATACTTATGTACGTAGATATGCCAACCCATTACTTGCAACATCTTTTTACAGCATTTAAATTCTACTCGTACAGATTGGTATGTATGTACAACACTACTCCAGTTTTGCAAAATTGCAAGGTGAAGGGCCAGATGTGGTTTTGCATTCATTTTTACACAGCCCTCAGCCTTCCATGACAAGTGTAAAAAGAAAATCTCCCAGAAACAGACAGACAGAGAGTTTGTTCAATCAGAAAACAACAAATTATAGTTGCAGCAGGTGCAACAGCATCTAGTTTAAATTGCCATTAGCAAGTTGGTAAATGCAGTGTAAAAATATTTCATGATATTCGCGAATCCTGCATTCATGCATGCATGCAGACTGAAGGAAGCGTCCTCATAATACTGCGAGTGCACATACGTGCATATGTGGTTAGCTGAATTGAAGCTTATCTGGTCTGAGGAGAAGAATGCACTTACTGCTGCAACCACCTCACTCATCATCCTCAGCAGCCATTCCTTTTGGCTTCAGTCATTGTGCCTCTAAAATGTATGATATTTTATTATGTGCGGTGAGTGAGAGCAGGTATTGCCAGGCTGAGGAGTAAGAAGAAGGGCGAACGAAAATCGCGAGTGCAAGAATCGAAGGCGAATGTGGGTTACATCCGTAATGCAGGATCCGGCACGTCTCTATCCACTTTTTGCATGCTCTTCTCACTCTTTGTCTACAAATTTCCATCCTTCACAAATTTCGTAAAGGCGAATACCTCCACCGCCGCCGCCGCCGCCGCTCATTACTACCAGACAGCAGATAGATATGCACTGCTGCTACTTGTGGATATACCTCGAAAACTGTAACGTTCCTCCCCTCACTCCATGTACCATTAGTTCGAGGCGAATGGTTCGGAAAAGTAAATTATCCTTGCGAATTCCTAACGTACTTGGGTCTGGGAACCCAAGCTGAGAAGTTGTGCAGACTGCAACGGTAGCAGTATTATGTGCATGAATAGTTGTATTTGTATATCAATAGCAATTAAACAATGACATTAATCAGTATACATGCCTAATCTGAATGTGATGATAAAGATGTCAATACAACAATTGACACGTCTTTTTGCTCATTGCATTTCTCCAAATGACCAAAAGATAAATTGCTTCGTCACCTATTCTAATTAACACGAATTAAATGTAAAGTTTGTATTAATGCAGACACATTGCGGGCACAGACGGATCGCTTAATACGTAAGAAGAGTTATTAAATGCAAGCTTTTACTTCTCTCGTGGTGGTGAAGGAGAAGGGTCACTTAACTTTGCACAGTGTCACTGTCATAAATACGATATATTTATATGTACGGCAAAGCAATAAGGAATAACTTTATGGAAGAAGCAGGCATACTCAAATATTTTGACTTTAAAGAAAGGCACACAATAATAATTCACATTCCTTGGGAAAAGGATTGGCACGACTTTTGCTAAATAAGTAAAGTTTGCTGTGGGGATGCAAAAATGCATCTTTTTTTTCTCTCTCTCTCTCTCTCTAAAGGAATGTGAGCTCACTTTCCATTCTTTGCTTGAGTTACTAACAATGTAAGACACGGATCAAATACCACCAGCCCGTAACACTCTGCACATATTTTTACACATTTTGTATCTTGTCTCTCTCCGTCTGTGTGTGCATATAAATAATTCGACAATGACATGCCTACCAGCACAGAAAGGGAAACTACTCCAAAGTTAGGAATGACGGGGTATTATTATTATTATTGATGTCACTACGACACATTTTCAGTCATTACACTTTTCCCTTGCAGTCTGTGTGACACGTAAGCCAATGGTTTTCAAATGGTCTCACAAAACTTGAACGGAAATTTATAAATATCTGGTCAACATTGCTTTCAAATCAAACCTTGTACCTTGGACGATACGGATGTATAAATATGAATTTGGATGATAAGTGATCTAGAAATTATTGGTATTTGTTTTCCCATTATAAAATCCTGTAATTCATCCAAGGCATATTTATTCTCAGTCAGTCTCAAAGAGAGAGATACAAGTAAATTGACTGCAGACCAGACAGCTCAGCAGACTTGATGGGATGCATAATAAATACACACACAAAACAAATAGAAACATGGGCTGAAACATTGATAATAAGTTGATCTGGGCCTTGGCCAGCAATTGTCGATAAAAATGATGATAAAAGCAAAAGTCAAAGAGTGAAGAGTAGAAGTGAGTGAAATAAATAAACAGAGATTGAACAGGTAAGCGGCCACAAGTCACAACCAAGAAGAAGAAAAAGAAGCAGCAAGACACACAAAGAAGGAATTAACGAAACCATCTCAATCTCCACTCAAAAGGTGAACCCGGACGTGAATTAACATCAAATTTCAAATCAAAACCATCAACCTACCAAAAATTTATTTTCTGGTTATGTATGGGCTGCATCCACATCTTGTGAAATATTGGGCAAAACACCCACTAGAAAATGTTGCATTTATGGAAAAGTTGTCTCATCCCCTCTAAACTCTCCTTCTCGCTCTTGGCATGCGAGCTTTACCAACTTTTTGTCTTTGTCAAGTGCATTGTGATTAAATTCGCATTCCTTGCGCACTTTCGCAGTCGCTTCTTAACTCGAACCACACACATGATTCCTCAGTTGTCTTGGCTGCTTTTGCCCAAAATCAAGTTGAACATGACCCCAGGCCGTACACACAAACTCACAAACTCACACAGACATCATGGCACTGTAAGAAGAGCTTCATACTTACCAAGCATTTTTAATTTCTGCAATTGAATTCAAAACCTTGAACTAGAAACTGGCGACCTTCTCTTGTAACTTGTCCCTACTTGTTGTTTTATGCAGGACAACAACGACTGCATTTTTTACCAAACTTATACAATGCGCTCACACATTTTCTCTGCTTGACATTTGCTGTTGCATTAGTGTTATACATACATATGTAGATAGTTAAACAATCATAAGGACTTGATTGTACGCATGTATCCGTGTTTGTGTTGAACAACATAACAGATTGCAATCAATTTTCAGTTTAATATTTCAGTGTTTGGATTATTTATACGAAACAGTATGAAGTTGATGACACTTGTGTGAATGTAAATGTGCTTATTTATTAGTGGGATGGACAAGGGTTGAGAAGCAATAGTATTAACTCCTCGATCGATCCATCTTCGATTTTGTATGGAGAGACAGATCATCGTTGGATGGATGGATGAGGTTGATTGGGGTTTGGAGTGTTTAATCATCAATTGTGATCGTGTGTTGGAGTGAGTCAGATTTAAATCAACAGCAGTAAATGGACGAGAGAGAGAGAGGAAAATGTCTAAATACACGTTGCACGAAACTTCGCCCTGCACCCTGTGACTAGTCCTTTAGGAGGCATTTCATTACTATGCACGCTTATCATCATCAGCAATATGCAGGCAGAAGTATGCCTGGTGGCTTAACTCAAGTATGTAGTATACATATGCATATGTACAGTTGAAGGAAGGTATCTGGGTAAATTTGCTTTGTATGCTAATTCAGTGCTAATAGTCATTCTCAGGCAAACAACTAAGTGGAGTGAAGTGGAGTGGGATTCCCTGGTTTTTAGAGGTTCAGCAGAGATACATCATGTACATGTACGATTCTCAGACGAGGATGATGGGTCAATCATGGCAATTCTTAAAATTATGGAAATTACAAAAAAATACGTTGCAGAAAGTACATTTTTAGAGTCAATAATCCAAATAATTGAATTACTCAAGTGTATTGGAGGACTAATTGAAATCGAGAGTGCAGAGAATATGTACACAGTTTTGGTCATTAGCATTGTCTGGTAGAGATATGAAAACCTAGAGCAATCCTAGAACAAAGGTTTGCAGTAAAAACCGCACATCTATCAAATTTTGTCATTTCAACCGAAATAAGGAAAATCCATTCAAGCCCAAATAGTAGTTATTAAGCATTTATGCGATATGTATGCATGTAAATATTAATGTGAACGTACATAATATGCATGTATGCGTATGTTATGTATGTATGCACGTATCTAGTTATGACGAGATCGCGTCATCCCTCTGCCACCAAAAGATGGGAATATAATGGACTGTGATGATGACATAATACAACTCTCTCAGACATTAGGATGCAGTTAACAACATAGATATTAACATGTGCAAATAAAACTGTCGCTAGAAAAAATGATTATTATTTAAACAATTAGGACCAGCTCTGCTATGTCTCTGTATCACGGCACGACCTAGACCCAAATTTCATATTACAATATGATTTGCTAATTAGGACTCTGGGAAATTCCATGAATTCGGGAGGGGATGCTAAAATTACTGGAAAAGTCAATGCCCAACCTTGTAATACAAGTAATGTGGATCGCAGTGTGTGCATTTGTTATTAAAAGCTCAAGCATTATTGTTGTTGTTGTACGGAAAATACTTTCAGCCAAATTTCACGTCCATGTAGATAGACGACTATCATACAAATATGTAATAATATTGTCAGAATTAATTCCCAAACGCTATATTCTCACTACTGATGAGATGAAAGGATTATTGTAGAGGATGATTGTAGCTCATGCAATTAATTAATTTCTGAGAGTAGCGTTCAGTTGTTTGCGTGTGTGATATGATGACGATTATCTTTCTACAACTATTTATTGTTAACACCGCAATTCATACACATGACACTCCACTCGCACAGCTACATATACGTGTACATACGTGCAACAAATATTTTATCCAAAAATGACAGACGTTTTGTTACGTTGACGTAATCACAGTTAACCATAAATGTGCAATTGGAACCGAATCTATTCAATATCAAATTGACGCCAGTCACCACTTAATTGGGCATTCTTGTCTGGATGTCATTTACCACATCACTCAGCTAAAGTACAAATACAGCTCGTAAAATAAATCGTGAGATAAAAAAATCTAGAATGTCTAAACAAAACTTTAGAAATTCAATATTTAATAATGTGGGAATTAAAAATTGTTGACAGTATAAAACGTATGCACCTGTAGTGCACATATCTGTGTACATAAGGTACTTATGTATGTACTCAAGTATAGGAAAACATAATGTAATGGAGAAAATAATTTTATGTTTTAAATGCATTAACTTTTTATGACGGCGGCTTTCGATGATTTAATAAATTGAAGCTTATCGAGTTGCATTTAATGAGATTTTAGTGCCAAGATTTTGCCAATGCATAATTTCAAAGGGTTTCACAAGCACAAATTTGTTTTCATTATAGAAGCAGTGTTATGTTGCATGTATACATTATCGGTATCATTGAGACCGATATTTCCATAAATAATTTAAAGCTCAAATGTTTACATTTCTAAAATAATATAGAGTTTTTTTAATTTGGAATTTAATTCTCAGCCAGCGTCAGCAATAAAGTTTAATGTAATGAGAGAAAGTAAATCAGTCAGCGGGGCTCTAAACTTGACCCATGCAACAACTTTGCAGTCGTATTACACAGGTATTTGTGTGTCAGATGAGTTTTCTATCTTTACTTGAAAAAGTACAGTAATTTCTGTCCATCTTCAAAAACTTTCGAGTGAGGAGCGCTGTTGTATGTATAAGGACGACACCTAAATACATATTATTTGCAAATATGTGGTGATCATTGACACGAAGGTATGTTTCATACATCACTCAACCGTTTTCAGAATTGATGATTGAATGAGCGCTTCCATTTGTTGTAGCCGAGAATCAAAACAAGACTTGAGCAAAGCCGTAAATTTCGCAAATTTCAATTTTGTGAACCACAACGTATCATATCATGCCGCACGGATGCGGAACTAAACCTTGGATTCTTGATTGACTATATCCAAAAATCTGGGTTAAGGCTGTAGCAAGCAACATTTGCACATATAGAATAATGCTAATAGAAGAAGAAGAAGAAGGCGACGATTTAGCTTGTTTTTGGTCAGCCAACAGAACGGCCCAGTAAGACGACTTGTTATTGATGATGATAAGTAGTTTGTATACGGCCGGCTATTCTTAAACTTCCGTCTCAAACTCGTTTTCAATTTGATGATGAAAGAGTTTTATAACTTTAGAAATTGGCAATGACATTCATCCACCGGTAGTCAAGGCCGACAGGTTTTCCGTCCCAACCATCTCCACTCTCGATTCGAACTTAATTCATAAAATCGAAAAAATTATGCGAGGACTAAAAAGTAAGCACAAAAGTAAACACCAGCTCCACTTTCTGAACGAATCTCCAATCATGGCGTTGGTTATGTGCGTGGTGCCCACGTGAAATGAAACTGAAATGAATCCTTCTTTCAATCTACATACTTACGTACGTACTACATTTTGGGCAAAAGGAGTGATAATGTCTTCCTTACCCACAACCAGGATCAGAACAATAATGAAACAGGGCAAATAGGCAACACAATTTTATTTTACAACGTCTTATTCAAGGGAAACATTTGTTTTTAAGGAACCATTTTAAAGAATATTTAATGCTAAATGTTCAAACTCAGATTGTTTAATAGTTGAACTTATAATAGAAACTCCAATAATAAGCATATCGATTTTTGTACATAAGTACCAAATTAAACTTAAATTTTTGATCAAGTAAGAACTAAATCTGAAAAATTACCTCCAAATTTGGCTACAAATTAAAATAATAAAATAACAGAATATTAAAATAAATTATGAAAATGGATAATGCATCGGAGATTTTCATCCTCTTCACTGAATCAATCCCATCCTAAATTCAATCCAAACTTGTCACGATGTTTGTGCACAAAATGCCTCAGAGATGAATGCAAGCTTACAAATATATGACATCACCAAGACGTAACCGAAATTGGCTGCTACTTCCGTTACGCCTTGGCTTCACATTTGTCCCAATACAAAATTAAACGAGGAAATCTTGGGTAACATGTCTTCTGCAATCTACTGTTCTTTTTCTGTTCTCTAAATTTCTAATGGTTATTATATTTAGTATAATTGATCAATTACTTTATAGCAGCACAATGAAAGCAGTATCAACTATTATCCCGAATATTATACAGATTATTAACATTGTCAACCCTTAAAAGTATGTATGCATTTATGTGTATATATCATGTCACTCACTTAATTAGTAATTAGTACACTAATAACTCGTCCTACGTACATACTCCCCCTTGTTATACTTACTTTTAGATACTTATTTTCTTACTTTTATAATTTCACTTATCAGATAGCAAACATATCTTAAAGAGATTCAGATATTAATACATAGATGATGGAAACACTTGTCACTGTATGTCAAGATTATTTTGTAGCACCTGAATATCAGACAAATTATTTATTATTTACTTTATATTTTTATTCGATGTTCTTGTGTGTGTCGTTGTTGCAAGTTTATGTATTGAATTTTGCATTGTAAACTAGACAGTGATTTCCGTTACAACATTTTTCTCACAAGTTTACCAAGAAGTCTGGCATGCAATTCCGAAATATTTTTCAATAATGAAACTCTCATCTTATGTATGCATGTTTATTATCTAGTCGCCAGCACCACCGAATGAATCCAATGTTTAAAAACGTCATAGTTGATAGTCGTTTTGGTCAGAATGTCAGAATACCCACAAACAAAAGTTGTGCTTTAAACGGGTTGTCCGATTATGTTCGTTTTGACATGGGTAGCTTCCGTCTGAATTCCATTAAGATTCGAATCCTGTTGCATGTGATCACGCCACGGGGTGAGTCCTGTGCTGCCACTCGGAAAAGTATTCTTCAGAAATAATATGGGATAAATATTTATTATTCAATGAGATTATTAATGTGCAATCTTCAAATAACATCACTTTTAATGAGTAGTAATCATCAATTATAAAGGCGTGTCAAAAATAAAACTAGACAGTTATCACCATTACCTGACCGGGTCGCTTGACTTGATTCTGGGTGAGAAACTTGAGGCGCTGTGATGAAAGTGAAAAAAAATAATTCTTCTACCAGAAACAACCATGCAAAAAATGGTGGTTATATATACCTCCATAAATGTTCCTTTAGTAACGGCCAATTTATAAAGAGCCATCCCAGGAATCCAAGCAATACTGGAACACGTAATTCCCCACCCGAGAACATTTGCCCATTGTGGATATACATATTCATGGATTTGAAGCGGCTCGTTTACGATCACCAATCCAAACACGATGATAAACTGTAAACAATCATGAAAATCAGGGATTAATCACAACCTCGGCCATCAAATTAGGCAATTTATTAAAATTTTCTTTTATGAAGCAAGACAAGAAAAAAATGATGTTTATCAGTACCAGAATGAATATCGGAGCTACATATTTCCAGCAAACTCGCCAATAAATTCCCGGGTATGTTCCAATCATTTCTTGAATGTCCGAGCAGAATCGATCAGTTCCTGTACAACAATGAGAGAGAAATTTTGATGTTGCTTGTAAAATATTACTGACGCTTTCACTCGATTACGAGAAAAAGAAACCACGGAGCTGGGTCTGGACAGCAAACTGTTAGTGCAATAACGTTGCCAATGTTAGTGTAACAATAATAATAATAAGAGAAATAGTGCATTTGGAACATCTACACTCATGATAGTAATCAGTCTAGACATGAAATACGTGCGCGAGTAATGGTAACATCGTAAAAGGGCACTCCTCCCAGTGCTTGTGCATACGCAGTGGAAGTTAGCAAGGTGATATTTTATGGGACATTTCGCAAATATTGTTGTAAACATGACCCGATCTCATTTATTGGGGACGAGGAGGAATAGTAATGATTGGATTAATTAAAGAGCAAACAAACCATAAATCCAGGAGACGGCGATGGCTTCAAAGAAGACGGCGAATAGGATTGAGAATCCAGCCGCATATCGTTCCAACAGACTGAAGAAATAGAAGCCCCCCTGAGAACAGGACGCCAGACCGACGATGAAGTAGAGGGTGAACAAACAGAGGACAAAGATTTCCCGATGCGCCCCAATAATAGGAAACTCGTCACTCAAAGCTGTGATTATGGCTTCGGAGCCTCCAAACTAGCGGAATTAATTAAACACGCATTTAATGCTAAAGCATCAACAACTACGTCTCTTAACCATGTACTATTAGAAACTCGTAGGCATTCTACGTATGTATGCATCTGAGGATCATCTCCATCGTAAATTTAGGAATACTTAAGAATATGTGTGCTTTCTTTCTCTAATCGCGAGAGACGTCAACATTTAATTTGGTCACATACGGAGCTGTCCAATCCCAGAGTGAGGAGCATCATAAAGAAGCAAAGAGCCCAAAAAGTGGAACCGGGCATTGTGGCGATGGCTTCGGGGTAGACGACAAATACAAGGCCTGGGCCTTCCTTGGCTACCTCCTGCAATTACACACAAAATCGTACAAAGTTCAATAAGACCAATGTCAAATAACGGCAGTCCTTTTGTCGTGGTTGGATTTTGGTGCAAAACGAAGAAAACAACCCGCCAATCCTTGGTCCTCATCAAGTTTGCACAATCAATGCTTCAAGTATAAAATGACCAAGCTCAGTCCCAGACATTTCTAATTACCTTAGTGGCTAATGCTTGGGATGGGTTTATCCAATCCACTTGAATGCTACGTACATCATACTTACTGTATTGAGGAGAAAGTCACCACCATTTATTTGGTCTCCCCAAGTTAAAAAAAGCTGCAAGTGGTAGCGTCAAGTAAGGAAAAGCCAGCCTCCACACACTTCAGAATCAACAATACGAAGAAAGTTGACTCAAAGTGGAAATGCAACTGATCACACTGAGGAGGAGAGAGTCCCCACTTGTCCAGCTCAGATTTTGATGCCCTTTGAACATGTTGTAGTTCTTGGCGAGTGAAGAAGGTTCAAATCCCTTGGGCCAATTTACGCCCGCCACACCCTCTCAAGCCATTAAAGCCATTAAAACTGTCACATTCCGACCTTCGTCAAAAATTCAATATTGACCAGATTGAGATAATTTTTGTCATACAAAAGTTTCTCCAATTTTTGAATTTTTAATATCTTCGACAAAATCGAAATTGAGTTTGAAATTGGATATGACGAAGCAACTATTTATGATTATAAAAGTGCAAGGATTATCGAAATCCGATCAAAAATTGATTTTCGGTGAAGGTTTTAATGCGCCAAAACAGAATTTTTTCATGATTTTGCCCCCTTGAGTGGGTGTGGCGGGCACAAATGGGGCCAAGGCATCAAACCATCCTTCACTTTTCCTAAACTCACCAAGGACTACAATATTTCCAAAGTGCATCAAGATCTGAGCTGGACAAGTAGAGAGGGATTTCAGTGGATGAGTAACCCAGCATAACCACTTAGGATTAGTACATATTCTAATAAGTTCTTTCTTACAAAGACAGATATCAATCACATTGTTCATGACCAGGATTATTTCATACATAAATTATCTCCGAAATTTTATGGTCAAGCGTAATTAATGGCTAGTAACTACATCATAATGATAACTTTAATTTGTTCTTACGTCAATCGGCTTCTGGCTTTGGTGTGACATGTAGCCCAGAACAGAAAACACGACGAACCCGGCAATGAAACTGGTGATAGAGTTGATGCAACTGGTAAGTATCGCGTCTCTATTTGTCACGAGGAAAATGGAGCCATTTTTATTAATTTGTGTTAACATGTTGGCTTACGTCAAAATCAATTAACATTAACATACTTGTAAACATTGTTGTGGAACTTGTTGTATGATGCGAAGGCGAGGAGGACACCGAAACCAGGGCCAAGAGAAAAGAAAACTTGGGTTGCAGCATCCACCCATACCTGTGCAAAAAATATTACTTTTGTATAAACCAAAGTGTGCAAAAATTTTAGCGGAGACAATACTGCAAATATTTTAGCGGAGATATTTAGCAAAACAATATGTATCAGTTTTCCTCTACCCATCGTCATCTCACAATAGGCGACAGTATCACCTATTCTGCTACGTATGTAAGCGATGCGACGGCAAGAGTTTGAAAGTTGAGTTGTTCCATTGATTGTGAGACTGAATGGAAGGTGTCAGATGTCAAAGACTTCAAAGAGCAAAGGAAAAAAACGAGTTTATAACATTGAAATATTGGACAGCCAAATATCCGACGTCTCCAATCATTCCACGTCCGAAATTGAGTGTAATGAAGTGTTGAGGCAGACCCTTATTTCTACCACTTTGCAACTCACATGTTTTTTTTTGCGCACGCTTTCCATGCTGAATGGTATCGGTGTAGGACAAGTCACGAAAAAACGCTTTTTACTGGGTCCAAAGTTATTGGACCAGGACTAAATGTTGTCAAGATTTCCAAGTATATTTCATGTACCAACACACTTTTTGTTTTCATGAGCGCATCTACTGTAATTTTATGTTTTATTTTCAATTTCCGGCCACCGCGCGAGGCGACTCCTTACTCATGACCAGCTTCACCCTTCCTGAGAGAACTCGGAGGTTGATAGACTAGGAGGTGTTGTAAGTTTCAGCAATCCTTCATTTTATGTATACGAGAAAGCCCTAACTTTTACGAAAAGTAGTATTTAAAGTGGGGCTGTGAGTTGGGTGGCTGACTTGGACGTGGACCAGAGGTCATCTGTCATTCCAAGCCAAAGTCATGAAGAACATGAGATTTCCATTAGACTTGTGGCTTTCATCTCAGATGGACTTTTTTTCACCGAGACGCACCCAGACCTCACGTACGTAAAATCCTTTATGATGAAATAGAGCATTTACATAGGTGGCTGAAAATTGCTCCTGCTTGCAAATACTCGTGCAGGTATATATACACTACTCCCTACCCAGGTGCATATACCGATGTGTCACCATGCTCGATGTGTGTATGAAATTAGCCTGTTTTTAAACTTTTATCAGTTAAAAAATGGATGAAACTATGAACGTATCCATCTTTCACCAACATGCAAAGAAGGAAATGGAAGGAATACAGTACTGTAAGTTGGTATTGAGGTTTTGAGGGCTTTGTTTGAAGAAAGTTGAGATTGGAAGTGGCCACTCCAGTTCTTGCTCACTTTCTTGCTTGTGGTGGTGCATAAATCGCATTGAATTCAGCTCATGTCACGTTTACTTTCGTTTTCTTCGGATTAAATAGAGAAGGACGCAACAGGCAACTTCAAAAAGCCAACTCTCAGGGTGAATTCCTTCCCTTTTCTTCTCGGCTACATACGTATAGACGTATCTTTATCACCCTAACGAGACATGAGGATTCGAATAGGGAGACACAACGTGTTTCAAAATTTACATTCATTTTGCCAAGTGTGCTGGCTCAGAAAAAGAAAGTCTGTCTTGCCAATTTGGCGGTGGAAAGTACTACTCAATTTACTCGTACAAGCTCTACACCCATATGTATCTCACGCCAATCTGTAGAACGAACAAGTTTATAGAGTTTATTCCGCCTCTTACCTCTGCCTTAAGAATTGATTTGAAATCGGGTCGCAAGTAATATTTTATCCCCTCGAAAGAGCCTGGTAAAGTGATCCCTCTAATCAGAAGAATAAACAGAACGGCGTAGGGAAACAGGGCTGTGAACCAGACAACCTGCAATAGAAAAAAACATGTTAAAGCCCTATAAAAGCAACATCCATGCTCATTTTAACTCATCCAAGCTCGATACAGGGCATTGTTTGAGTAAATGAAACCCAATAATACGTCACCTTGCCCGACGTGGAAATGCCTTTCCACAAGCTGAAGTAGCATATGACATACACAGCGAGAAGACAAAGGGCCATGTCCGGCTTTATCCTTCCCAGGTCGTGGAGCCCTTCGCTGCTCTGCAGTTCGAGAATGTACCGTCTGAAAACTCAAAGACCACGTATCACAAGATGCTCAAATGGATAATTTGATACGTAATAATTTCGTGAGAGCCATACTGGAAATACTCAGACGCGGCTCCGGTCTTATTCTCCTGAGACATTACTTGGGAAGAATTGTCGTCATAAGTGAATCCCGAACTGAACAAAGTGCTATGATTCTGTTGCAAAGGTCCCGACATCATATTATGTTCCTGCGGTTTCAATCCGGGCATTTCGATCTAGAGGACAAAAAATACTTCGAGTTCTCGTCATCTTCTTTCAGTGTGACGCCATTAATCACACAACTAATCAAGATCCATCCATCATAAAAATATGTAGTCAAGGATGTGGATATGCTTGGTGGAGGTGTTTGTGGGTGACGATTGCGTACATGCAATTCTTTACATTTTTGCCAATGTGGCCAACGCGGCCCCAACGAGATCAAACTTTACTTACAACTGACTTGGATTACAGTCCGCAACCCAGTCAAATTATTGGGCTTGATATCGACGTCTTATACATTATTGGGGGCGAGAGTAATTTGTCTGCTGATGGTTACAATAAAAAAAGAAGAAGAAAATTATAACTCACTGGTTGGCATGTTTCTGTGTTCCACGGGTTGCCACAGTTGGTCCAGGGCAGTTGGCCAGTTGTAAACGAGGCGAAGAAAAATCGCAGCGCCCATGCAATTATCACGTTGTAGTAAAAATCCACATAAAACGCTATGAGGGCCACCGTGTACCCAATCCCTGAAAAAAAGAGGGGAAAAGTAAGCTGTATTAAAATCTTAGCATACGTAGAACCCATTTTGTCCCGTTCCCAATGACGTCGCATGTATTGACTGTTCGAGTATTAAGAAATCCCAGGAGGACGAATACATAATTACATTAAAGCTCAAGCTAATACCATGTGCATGAAAGGGCACATTTTATACCATAATCCACCTCACAATTTGCGACGAGAACAGATTTCCCCCTTTGATTTTGATCCAAGAGGATGACATCTTTTGAGTTTCATGTAAAATAGGTGAAAAGTGAGGAGAATGTTCTACTAATTAGGTTGTCGGATAACGAGTTTCATCCCTCCTCATGCTTATCCCCAATCAGTTTCATGATCCCGTGCACTGGTGCAACCAATATCTGTGCAGAATACGAATACCTTCTTAATACATATTTTTCTCGTACAAAATCCCTTCTTATCCTTAGATCGACCGGCCTTGCATGCTGTTCACATAGTCGAATCTAGGTTATCATGTCTGCGATTCATATTTACAAGGATACCGTTTTTAGTCAATGCATACTTTTTGACAAAATATTATAAAGTATTGTTTTATTTTAAAATCATTAAAAAAGTAGCAACTTTTTAGTGATAAGACACAAAAAGTCATTTCTATAGATTAGATTCCAACGGGTTTAGGAATTTTTAGGCTGAAATTGAGAGAAAAGAACCAATAACTTGAGCTTTATATGCATATATCCATATTTCACACAATCGACAACCCTTCATTCAAGCGATATGCCACTTCCACCCACATCAACTCCAACGCGTAGGCTCTGATAATGCTGGTTCCTTTTAAATGTAGTCATGATCGGAAAGGTCTGCCGGGTAATTTCATGAGTTCAATTTCATTTGGAAAATGACTTCACTGTTTCACATGAAAGGGACAATTTCCAGAGAAATTAAGTTATCCCGACCCTGTCGACTTTCCCTCCACCAACGCCACCACCACCACCACCTCCAGCCTGTCCTTCCTTCACTTTGGGAGGAGAAAGTCATCATAATCATACTCATAGCCAACAACAAGGCAAACTCGCAGGGCACGCCAAGCTCAAATGCACTAAACTCTAAAACTGAATTTAACGGTCTTTAACATCAAAATTGAAAATCAAATCAATAGCAGGCGCCGCAGTGGTAACTTATTAACAGGATTGCAATATACGAACCTGCGGGATTGGTAACTTTGCCACATTTTCAGAGTTCAAAGAAGTTGCAGTCTTCTGAAGTGGGATGCTTATGTACTGATCTCCGTCCATACTATTTACGGTGGGTGAAAACTTTATCAAGTTGTTGTGATAAATGAGTCATGCAGCATATTGTTTTAGTAGAATGCGTAAATATGTAAATTTGTACGTAGTTTACGATTAGTTAGCTGTTTGTTGATATACAGGGCATTAACTCTTTCACACATTTGCATGGAAAAGAATGAATACTTTTTTTATTATTTATGTCGAGATTGCTCTCTTTTTGATACTCTTCAGACAAGGTGTCCCTTTTTGGTTTGTTAAATATATTTGAGGCACGAAAGCATAAAGCGAAAGAAAGAGATGTATTATTATTGAGTGCCAGTAAAACGCTTGACTATTCTTTAACAGCCCTTTGGAAGAGTGGTGTGGGTCGGTGGTGGTGGTCATAAAGAGAGAATCGAAGAGAAATTGACATTACCATTTGTAGCATTGATTTCTCTTGATAGATGGTCAGATTGATTCCGCATCTACTCCACTCTTCACCAGTCGCAATTCAATTCGATGCCTCGGTGGTTTTAAAGGCTTAGAATGATGATTGAAATATAAACGGGGCGGCTGGGGCTGTAGCATGCACCACGTTCCAGCGACAAGAAAATATTTGTGTCACGTCCTCAGAAACTTAAACTCAAATATGTATCTGCTCGGTGCATCTTGTATATTTTCCTGTGGAGCCTCACCCTTTTTTGGTGCTCTGAATTGCGTAACAGGTCCCTTGATGGAGTGCGAATGCAATTTGATGCAGCAACAGCAGCCACAACATGGCGGTGGCCAGTCTGGTGCTTCGGAATGCATGGACGTGTTTCGAACGTGGTGGTGGTGCCTGGTGAAAGGAGAAGTTCGGGAGATAATAGACGAGGAGTAATGAGGGAGGGTAAGTGGGTTCACGGTACATTAGTGCTCCATTCTGCTGATGGTCCTGTGATGTGCATGTAATGAAGGAGAGCTCGTTTCCTGCTTCCTGTCCCGCTTGCCACACACCACCACCACTCACTTTCACTCACTCACTATTATACCATCCACTCACTTTCACCACCACCACCATCCACCCCGTCACAATGTGCTACATGCAGTGACTTGGGAGCCAAGGGAAGGAGGCCTGTTCTGCTAAACGTCGTCCCCTCGCACCCTATGACCACTAGTCTACAGGTTATTCACCAATGTGGTCCAAATCACCAGGAGAAATCTCCCCTTTGCGAATTTGTGGCTTTCTTCTTACGTGACTTGGGCCCACCAGAAGTATAAATACATGGCTCAGGTGCCTCCATTTATAAAAAGGCTGGAGGGATTACGTACCATATTTCATTAGTGCTTTATGGTTTCTAGATTATAAAATAAGATCGAAAAACCGTTAGAATCTAAGGACCCAAGGGAACACACATGCATATGTACCCTACTTTTTATAGGACAATAACTTGCTCACTTCTTGCCCCATTCTATCAATATTTGACGTATTATGCATCCAAGGTGCAGTGAGACGTGTGTAACACAACACAAAAATTCAATATGCTTTATTCGATTTGATAAAATATTCCAAGAGGTGAAAGTGCGTGCGTCTGTTATGAGATGAAATTGTATTGTCTGTCTACGATAACCAGATATCCTTCAATATTTGACATTGGTTCTTCTCACTTTTTTAGACGTATTCTGTTTTTGACACCAAATGCTATTTTTACTCCGACGTCTACAATTTGCACTCACATCAGTCAAATGCTTTGGCCCGCAGGTTGCGATATTTCGAAATAGATAACCAAGCAAACAAGAGAATAAGGCTAATCCAAATGCGACACTACAATACAGCTTAAAATTACTGTTTATTTGATTATTTGTTAAAATAAGGACACTCAATTCCCATGGTCGAAATCAAGCATGGTCATCCAAAAACCCACATACGTATCCATTTCAAACAATTTAGAGTGCACCATCACGACCCGCATTTACATCACCATTTTAGCTCTTCAACTCATTTTAGAAATCGAAAATGTTCTACGCCTCGAGCTCCTATTTTATGGAGATTCAAATTGAGGATTTCACATGAGGGTGGTGTAACTTGTCAATCTCATACTGAACGTAATTCGATCGGAATTTAGATTATTCAAAATTGATCTGTAAATTGCCAATTGTCAAACACGCCACATATACCCAACATATTCGACAAATATACCTCAATTTACGTCGTTATGAAGGAATTACTTGGCATTGAGATATAAGAATATGGAAAAAGGTGTAAGCGAACCTTCAGCAGAATCAGGACTAAAGTACTAATATTTTCCCCCGATCTTTGTCACAATTTCAAATAATTTTAATTTACTCAGCTAAAACAACTTTTCCCACAATAATCTTGGAACAATAAGCTCCCAATAAATAGAAATCGTCTATCGATCGTACGTATTACCAACCACTGACTGTTAACATATATATCAATGTCAAGTTCACAACATGCCGACCGAATTACACTACCACCAAGCTCAATCAAAATATAGAGATACTTTTATGTGCATGATGATATCCGTCAACTCTGAACATGCTGCTGTGGCTTCTTTCTTTTACTGATAAGTGAGCTTGATTTCCCACAGGACCAGGGGTGAGCTTTTAGCTGCTGTAAGATGAGTAGGTACATATCTTATCTAGAGAAAGCATTGCACCAACCTTTGAAAAGAGGGACGAGCCGACCCCAACAAGTGATGGCCCCTTTGCGATTGTATTGTCCAAGAGCGAGCTCCATGTAGAACAGAGGAATCCCACCAATTAGCAACATGGTCACGTAGGGTATAAGGAACGCGCCTGAAAAATGATAAATTACAACATATTCTCCTACAAACCGGAAATATTTCAGTGAATTATTGCACAGTTACCCACCAACCATGATTGAATATATGAATACCATTAGCATCGTGATATTGTACGTGCATTAATTTCCTGCTAATTTATTTTCGTTCGACATAACCGTGACTGATTTGCATTCATGCAATTCAATTCACAATTGATTGAGTCGCCGAAGAAATTTTGGATGGAACATTGTCAAAGAACAATCCCATCATCATCATTATTATTATTATTACTCCTTCAACATATAATATGCCCAAGGTAAAGTAAGTCTCCAGACAGCGATTTCCCTCCTCGAACGGCGAAGAATTGAGAGATTCAGATCAAAGTAGTAGTGGGGAAAGTATTTTGGGTTGGGTGCATCCATAAACTTTTCAAGGTGTGCCACACTTCTCCCATTTAAATGCTAGAGAATAATTTGCATAATGTCGACTCGTAGAAGTACGGACAAGAAAATGGGACAAGTGTGGAAATATGTGCAGATGAGCTGTGGGCTGTCCTACCAGGGAGGAATTAGAGTGACGTGATTGTTGAAGAGGATGAAAGTATTGGAATTGTGCATTTGAAGCAATTTGGAGGAGAGTGGTGGTAAAGGGAGGAAGAAATTGGCTGAATTGGAGTAGAAATAATAAATGGGAGCACAAGTGAGGAGGCAGCAAGGTATTGGAGAGGTATTTGCTCAGGCTCGAGTCTCTGGACTGGATTTCCGGACGGGAGAAGAGAGGAAATAAAATTCCAGGTCGTCTTCTTCGCCTCCTCCTCCCTTCGTCGACGTCGACGACATGCAGGAGAGTTGCAACAACATGCTACATACAAAATAAAATAGCCATGTAGCCAACAACCACTTCAACTTTCACCTTCTCATCCTCCTCCTCTCCATCCCTTCAAGGATTGGAGGCTGGTAGGACAGCACCCACCACCACTCGTAGTCTGGCAGTGTCATGCCCTTTAGCGCAGATTACGGACAGACAGGTCGTTCATCCTTCACAATCCGAGAGATTCTTCTCCTACTTTGAGAATATTTATGCAATACAAGTAGATATCTACATATGTCTGTATATCTGTTCTTCAGAAATGATAAAATTTCAAGAAAATGAGGCCAAAATTTTTCCCCAATTTAATTTGCTACAAAACAATACACTTTTCTATCTCGAAATGAGAGAAGCAATTTAAATATTGCTTGAATCACGTTCGCAGAGAGTGACGCTAGGGCGAGGGATAGAGGAGAATATAAGTCAAAGTCAAGCATCCCCTGCTTTCACTGGATGCGTACGTATGTTGTACTTTTCCTCTCACATGGAATGGAATGATGCTCATTCTTAACTTAATTTCAAGGGAGGAAGTTGTGAGTGATGAATGACTCATTTCCTGACTACAGTATCTTTCCTGAACGTGAAATTTGTAAGAGGTACGTCGTTCAACAACTACGACTATCTTCGTCGAGAACTATGTATGGGATGTTTTCAATATTAGATAATGGAATATGCTCGACTACCTTCTTTCCCGACTTTGTGTTCTCTTTTTCTCCAAATAAATATTTGGTCCATGAAGAACCGACAACAAAGAACTACCTAAACGTATGCAAAGTTGAGAGAGAAAGCTATTTTATTGGAAACTCTCTTTCAACCGATGCATCGGTTGAAAGAGAGTTTATCCCATGGGATAAATTCATATTGTTACACATTGCTTATTAGCCTGTCCTTCTGTGCAAGTAAAAAACGCATGTCTATAACAACTTACCTCCGCCGTTCTTGTAACAAAGGTATGGAAATCGCCACACGTTGGCGAGATCGACAGCAAAGCCAATAACGGAGAGGAGAAAGTCGACCTTCTTCTCCCAAGTTTCCCTCTCCTCCTCGACGACGGCCAGAGGGAGGATGACGCTGCCCCCTACGGAATGACTCGTCTGGCTGTTTTGACCCTTGGTGGACAACTGGGTTCCAGTGTCATTATCTGGAGATCGGCTGCTCTCCATGTCCCCGATGGCGCGGTCAGAGGATGGTGAATCCTCGTCATGGTCGAGACCTCCTTGTCCAGCCAAACCTGGAATAACGGCGCCTTCACTCGCGCTTTTCCCCCGAGGTCCTCCGCCCCCTTGTCCTCCGAAACCTTTTTTTGATCCAAACTCCATCTCTTGCACTCTTTGATGATGACGACGACGAATTGAACGATGAGGGGTTTGTTTGTTTGTCCTCAAATCTTGGGAAGGGTTGGAACCTTCATATTCATCTCGTCTTCTTCCAACCGTCGATCAGAAGAGCTGGCGGAACCGATTGTCAATTTTCCTTTATTATTTGCAATCTATTGTGGTAAACCTTTGAAATGGTTCACATATAGTTGATGGTTGGTTGACGATGACTTTGAGGGTAAAGTGAGACGAGTTTGAGTGAATTGAGGAGAGTCAATCCCTTGATCTTTTTATTCCTACATGATATATATTTCCGACAGTGAAATTCTGTCTGGCTTTCTCCTCTGGTGGTTATTCCCGTTTTGGTGCAGGATTCAGGTGTGCAGAAATTTCATAATGTGACAGTTTCTCATGTATTTTATCAGCCTCAATTCGCCATTGTCCTCCAAGTGGAGAAAGGTAGATGGACCAGAAACTATTCAATAAGGGTAAGAAGAATTGTGTGAATAAAGCTTTTGACACTTCCATCCTGCATTTCACTACGCAAAAGTGACAACTTTAGTGGTGGCAGCAGTATTAATTAAATTTCAATCAGATTCATAATAACAAAGTGCCAAAAAGTTTTTGATAATTTGGTCGACGTCTCCTGTTTTTATTGTTTCGTATCAGTTGTCAAAATCTTTTTCAATCAAATCAAGACATGATTACTGATGCGTGAGTATCAGCGATTTGCATCTACTTGATGAGATCGCTTCTTTTCCCCCGAGAGACTCGTTTGCGGAAATGTGAGAGCAACAGCTCCGACGACCGACCAACCAACCAACCTGTAAATGGCAACCCCATAAATATGTGCTATGCCGAACAGTTTGTGTTAAAAGAACAGCGACGATTGGAAAATACTGGTAAGAATTTCTTACTATGAGAGCATTCACATCGTCCTCCTACGTACGTATATAAACCTTTTTCGCCTGCACTTAAGGCCAGGGTTTTAGTTGAGGCTCTATTTTTAAATTTGTAATTCATAAAGAAAGCAAAACGCCTACTAAGACGATATTAGATTAACGCAGCTCAAAGTGCTGGCTCATATCAGCTTCATTCAGACCCCGTCTCATTGAATGTTGCTTACTTCTTTCTGGAGAGCAACGTTACATACGAACGAGCCTTTCCTCCCTGCATTGTGAGCAGAACAATTGAAAATTTGAAAAGTGACAATGGGGTGGAACTTGTTGAAAGGTTTTGTTCTCAAATTGTCTAAAAGTCAAAGTCAAAGTGTTGGCTGAACAGATTCAGCACATTTTCTCGCTCTGCTTGCCTTCGGTGAAGTGAGTAGGGTGCCAATTTAGGAATTGGGCAAACTGCGTCTTAGAAATCATACGAGTCGCGAGGCACGAGTGATGATTTCGTGATAGATATTTACGCAGAGTGTTCCCAGAAAACATCTTGTTCTGCATTATAGATAGATAACAGCATCTTGTGCTCAAATAAAGCAAAGATATCCTTCAAATAGAGGTGGTTCTAGAGAGCGTCTACATGAGATTTCAGCCTTCCTACGCAGAAACCCTGGCTCTATATTTCCCCCTTTTTTTACGAGACAAAAATTGTCCACTTATTACATTATAATGAAAAATGCATCGCCCTGCAATTGCTGGAGGGGAAATATTACTCTACACGCCCCTTAATAATGTATGCGAGGCTGGGTGTCAAGAAAATCTAATTTGGAAAGAATACTCTGTCGCACGTTTTGTATTATTCTAAACGAACGGAGGGGTGAATAACGCATTATGGAATTTATGTATGTCGTATTGTCCATCTTAAAGTAAAATCAGGTGCACGGCACTCAAAACAATACGTGCCTTTCAGCTTAGTCTAGTTTTTGGAATGCAAGCAGTGGAGATAACTCTGATTGCGTAACCTGGGGTATTTTGATAAACCTTGTTTTTGTCGCTATTATACAACACCTGAATGTATTTTGAACTTGTATTATTTCTGAAGTGCTTCCTTAAGTACCCTTTAAATCCAGTTGTGTCATAGCTTTACGTAAGCATAACGACCTTCGCACAGGTCTATATACTTAAGTAGTTGATGAACAACCCGTCGGGACTAAAAAACTTGAAAAAGTTGGATGATTTAATCCAATTTCCTGTTCAATAAGCTTCCATTATGCTTCCCCATTTGTTTACTTACTAGCTCCTTGAAAACACATTGTATGCGTAGAAGATTTTTTTTTCTAGATGAGAGATTAACTTCTTTCCGGTCCAATAAGCAACTTATTAACTACATAGTGATACGTGTTAATTTTACTGTCAACCAGAATCGCTTTTCTTAACTCCCCGTTAATAAGCTCATGTTGACAAAATTAATCTCTTCCCTTGATAAGTAATTAAACACACAAGTTTTACCAAGAAACTGGAAATTTAAGATTAAACAAGTTTCCACTTCAATTGAAAGTTTGCCCATTTTGACCACGTCCACAAATATTTTCTCTGTGCCCTTGTCGGTTCACAGCGTCCCACTCAAAAAACCTGTTGCTTACACACGCTGCTATTTAGTGCGGAAGTGGAGTTTGCATGACATGAGGATTCTACATATATCGGATTCTTCCAACAAACACGAATTCCACAAATTGCTCCCTTGCGACTCATTCTACAGCTCCAACTACGCGCCCCTCAAAGTAGTCGGTTAGTTTAAGGAAACGGAAGCAACAAACAATTATAGCTTATTATTTCCGTATCAGGTTATGTTCCCCTAGTTTTCATGCTTTTTTCCAGAACGCTTACTCCGAAAATGATTACAGAAGTGTGTCCATGCCATAGTGTGGATGAGGATGAAAGTTGTCAGAAATTTACAAATACGAGGAAACTATCGCACATGCCAATTATTCGAGCAGTGACTGCACATGATAAGATTGGTGTCAGGAAGTTATTACCTGAGTACTCCAACTAGTTTGCAACCAGACAACTTTTACGCCAATATCTCACCAAAGAAAGTCGGGTTTTCTTGCACCAACTTTTATTTCAAATCACTTTTGGAAAAAGTTGGAAAATGTATCATGTGTGAGTCTATGGATGAAGGATGGTATGCTACTTACGAGACTCAGGTTTTGAGAAATTTGACCAAGTGGTGAAAGGTGGTGGACGAGGCGAGTTGAGACGACGACGAGGAGGATGAAAGAACTGAGAGAAGAGACAGAAATGGGTTGGAGAATCCCAACACACTAACTTTCGCAGAGGCCGACGCCACACTTTTCTCCATTTTCTTCTCCCCTTCTTACAATCAAAAGCCCAATAATGTTTCGCCTTCTCTCCCTGCAGGCAAGGAATGGTGAGCGGTCATGCTGCTCAATCTATGCCACCAACAAATCAACTGCTGCACAACTTGGTCAGGTGGAGTTGCCATTGCTGCTCGTGCCTGCTTTCTCCGACCAGTGGAGAGAGAGAGAAAGTCAATTTGGGGACTAATCCACATATCGAATTAGCACGACTTCCTACGCATTAATTAACGTGATAGGTGGCATGTTATGGCTTGATTTGTAACACAACAGAGTCAAAATACACATGTACATACCGTGGCAGAGACCAGTTTGTGTCCGTTGTACAATTGCTATCGTAAATGCTCATCTAATATTTAATTTACATGGGGGAAAATGCAGATAAAATAAATTACAGGGTGTATTTATCCATGCGGATCAAGTACATATCTAGCAACGAGTAACACGCAGTGGGGGGTGCAAGAGGTTGCTCTCGTTAGGTAATGGACTTAAATTACCACGTACATATATCCATTCATAAGGTTACGTAACGAGTGTAGGCAGGCAAGGCGGGGGCGTCATCGTTTGATGAACATTTCATACGTAGGCTGTACTTAAAGTGGTTCTGAGTATTTTCTTCTCGGTCATTTTCAAATGTCACCTCAATTAATGTGCTAATCAATTTAAGGAGAAATGAAAGGAGAGAATATACGTAACGTGTACATGAATGAGTAACATGTAAAATAAATCTTGGTCTTTCAGAAATGTTAATTTTTTGGGAGAAAGTCAAATTGCAAGCGACCCAAGAGTTGGACCACTTATATTATAATTTTATTTTTAAAATTCATGATTAGTTTAGTGCAGAAGGAATAATAAATTTAGCATTTGTAATAATTAACTTGCTTCACCAAAAATAGTATAGGAAAATTTAAACTGTATATAGTCTGCGTGACAATAAGTATATTCGATTATTGATTGTGACACAGGTTGCAAATATTACAAAATATTGACAAAAACGTTAAGTGGGAGGACACAAAAATGCAGAAGCGATGAAGATGAATCGTTTATTTCTGTCTGTACTACTTTGTAAGAAGGATTTGGCTAAGGGATTGACTGGATTCTATTCTTGTCATTGCTGTCTGCCTCACTTTCTCGTGAACTTCTGCGGTACGGTGAGTTATACCGAAAATATCCTCGTGGTAGCGGCTGTCATCCTAAAAGCAATAAAATCAGATTTGTTCATAAATCAGCATATTTGTTATTTTCGGTTCAGCAAGGAATTTTAAAGTTATAATATTTCTACTAACTCGTAATGAGAGCATGTAGCTTTCAACTTCGTTGTCATTTAATTGACCTCTGTCTTGCACCACACTCTTCAACGTTTGATAAACTTCCTCCGCCATTGTGCAGTCACCGCAAACGTAGACGTGTCCCCCCTCTTCCATTATCTGCTTGGCTATGTTCTCCTTTTCCCGACGTATCAAATCTTGTACGTATGTCTGCAAAACAAGAGTAACAAAATAGTTTACATACATATTTGTATCAGTAATTACAAGAAATTTATATGTTGCACCTTTTTAACATTCGGCTCCCTGGATAATGCCAGAAAAATGTCCGAGAGTACATTGTCCTCCTTCAGATCCTCGAGTTCCGATCGGTACAATATCATTTCTTTGGTGCGACAGCCAAAAAACAGTGTTACTTTTCCAAAACGATAGTTGGAATGTCTTTGCATCATGAGTTTCCTCTCTTGCCAAAATCCTCTGAAGGGGGCAATTCCAGTGCCCGGTCCAACCATTATCATCGGCTTAGCCATGTCCGTGGGCATGTGAAACCCTGCAGCACTACGTACAAAAAAATCACGATTGGTTTTTAATCAGTAAAATATTCCTTCAAAGACTCAGCGCAATAATTTCCAGGGATTTGAATACCTTCTAACAAAGCAAGGGACGAGAGATCCAACGGGGATATCATACAGATAATTAGAACAAACGCCATAGTGCACAGGGCCTTCGCCCCCTCGGGTTTTGTATGTAACAACAGCCACTGTCAAATGGAGTTCGTCAAGATATGCCAAAGGAGAGGAAGATACGCTATAAAATCTGGGTTGAAGAATCGGCAACATTGTCGCCAAAACGGTAGCATCCGGTTTCACATTTGGAAACTGTTCCAGCACTGTGACAAAGTTTGGCCAATGAAATTGCTTCCAGTGCTCATACACATCCGGATCCTATAATTATTAGTAACAGTAATTAGTAACTTGAATTGTTTTGCAAGATTACACAAATTTTACAATGTAACCTTTGCCAGCGATGTGAGACGTTCGATTTCCTCCTCATCTTCCGTACATTTCATAAGGTACACTAGAAGGTTAGATCTTGGAGGTGTAGTTATGTCCAAATAACGAGTAAACATTTGGCGTAAACTGCATTTTGGCAAACGATCGTGTGGCACCCACTGCTTTTGTACTCCTATAATCAATTATTAACCATATTTCTGTAATGCATATTTCAATTGTTTTATAGAATATCATGTAATTGTACGCACCCATCGGAGTATATTTTTCCTGCATTAGTTGAAGCTGCACTGGCTCATCGCTGCTTGATGGCTTATTTACTAATCTATCCAAAATTGCATCAACAAGTTCACGACGATTTTCTGCCATGATTCCAACATGGTCTCCAGAGTGGTAAGTGAGTGGCACAGGTTCGGCCAATCGCTTTCTGATCACCACTTTTATTGTGGACCGAGCATGGCTGCAATTCGATTGTTTAATTTCATCTTAAGACTCAATACTCTTAATAAGAAATATGTGTATGAAGGTATGTGTATGTGTACCTTCCCGTTGTCTCGTGCAAATTTTGCTTCTCTATAACTTGATATGACACAACCTTTCGATTGTGAACTTTGGCGAGTGCTGTATCAAGAAAATAATATCATATCATGTACAAACATCGAAATACATAAATGTTGTTATAAACAAGCTTTTCATACCCTCAGCTTCTTCTTCTGGGTTTGAAATCGGAAGAAACCGGACAAACTCTGGAGATAGTGTGTCAGCCTTCAACGCTGCGGAAATGTCTGTCATGTTTTTGTCAAAATCCAGACAGAATGAGTCACACGCAATCTATATATTGAACAACGGGATTGTATACAAAATGTCAATATGACATGAGTATGTGGAGTAAATTTTTATCTGCAGTACTTGAAAAATTTCTGCTGCCCAATTTCTGAATGCTTGATCTTGACCAGCAAGTTCGTCTCCGGTTGAAAGCTTCATCAATCGTTCGCCTCCAAGTTCACCCAGAAGATTGTCCACGTAGCGTCCAAACGCACAAAAATTTGGGTATGCACTGGATCCCAATGCAAAGACCGCAAATCTATGAGTGAAAAATTTTAACTTAATCTGGTCACAAAATTGATAATCTCGCACATCTAAATAATTTCTACTTACGTAATATTTCTAAGCGGTCCAAAATTGTCGTCGGACATAACATCCGAAATTTGGCTTCCTCTAAGAGAATCATTTCTGTCGAATTTTCTTTCCGCCGAAGCTAACGAATCGGTTTGACTGTTCATTTTGATGAAGGACTTCGATGTGGCCATGCTGCATACATAATTTAGAAATTAAATGCATATGAAGATAGTCATTCTTGTCCACAAGTTATTGAGGGTTTTACTCACTTGATGCCATCCTCTCCCTGAATAAACCCTTGATTCATTTTGATGGAATACAATGCGTGTGCAAATGTCTGTCAGAGAAGGATGAATGTAAATGATTAGTAATACAATTAAGCCAATGAAAAGCGATAATAACGAGCACCTCTCCATTTTCGGGTGGATCACCATTTCCAAAGGTCGACGTGACCACCAGAATCAGTGTCTCGTGCTCGATATTGATTATGTCGTACTCGTTCATGCTGTACACCTAAATTTGAAAAATAACCAGTTTAAAATCTCATTTTTTTCTTTGAAATAAATATAATCAGTTATTTCAGCTAAATAATTAGTTATTTATACAGATATTTTATTACTTGAGCATTGAACGCGTGTCCAAAAATCTCTCCCAGCCGTCTCGCATACATTTCCGACTTCCCAGTTTCCGTCGCGTAAAGGATCGTAGCCTTAATTCGTTTGGACAAAGCTTTGCCAAATAATTTTGATGTGAACTTGACGGCTCGAGCAATCTCTTTAAAGTGGAACTTCCGCCTTGCAGTTTTTCGAGTTTTTGCCCCAGCTCCGACTCCGATGCCATTTCCTTGACCAGAAGTACTGCTCTTTTTCCAAACATGAGTCTTCCAAGCTGGTTCTTGATATTCATAACTTGGTTTTAAAAGATAAAATGCCATTTCTTGGTGGAAAACTGGCGTAGCAGAGCCAGACATTGGAGGTACAATCCAGACCCAGTCCGCTGGACAGCCTCCGCGTGTCCGCATTTCATTTTCGTAATGCTTCATAAAGGATTCCGACGCGCTGTGGTGATCCACGATGGTCACGAGAGCTTTCTATAAATTTAATTTGAACTCTGATTAATTGAAAGGTAAACAAATTAAGGGATTAAAAGTAATAGTATTACCTGAAAACTATGGAGGACAGCCAAGTTAAGCTCAACCATTGCTCTGTCTTTCCACAATGTCGTTGGATTCTTCGTGTCTAGACCCATTTTAATGGCGACGTCCTAAAAACAACAATCCAATTGAGAAGTGTCCCATACATTATCAAGTTATAAAATTAGCATCTTATTTTAAGTGAATTTTACGTATTATGTAATGTGAGACGGTTTGTTGTACTCGTTTACTGAGGGAAATTTATTTTGGTTTGTTACAACGTTGCGTAACACTGCTTAACATGAGATCAATTTGTTTTCTTTCACTTGTGTCACGAGTACAAAATATCGTTTGAAAACTCATAGATTTTATCTCAGTTCAAGTCCCAAAGGCGTTGGTCCTGATGGACTGTCAATCAAATGCTCTCAAGCTTTTGTTTGGATTACTTTCTGCAGGAGTTGCAACTTGTACCACTCTCGGCACAAAGGAAATCTACCTCGTGACACTCTTTTTTTAGACACAATATGGTTCGTCGTAAAGCTAACTTTAAAAGCGTCTGCCATTCGCAATTGGAACAAGAGATGAGAAATTGAAAAATGTGTTGCAATTTCAAAGCACCTCAAGAACATTGTAGCGATACGTGTCACCCAAATCTCGGCAGCCAATTTCTGTCCCCATGTACCATCCATTGAAAGGACAGGCTGTGAATTCCAGTCCCCCACAGTCAAACATCATTCCGGAAACGGCGGGTAGAGCGTACCATCGCAAATCTAGCTCGGAGAACCAGTCAAAGCTATAAAAAAGAAAGTAATTGTCAGTTTGTGCTATATCAATTTTACAAATTTAGGGATGTAAATCTCGATTACTTTGGATGAACTAGTTCCACCTCCAAAACTAGCTCCTTGGGAATTTCAAAGTATTCAGGATCATGTCCATCAGCAGCAAGGACAAGAGGAAGAATGTCCCATCGGGTTCGCTTTCCTTTCCATCCAAGTTTTTCACAGAGCTGTGAATACAATATAAAGTGACGATTTGGTAATAACCTTATTTTTAAAAATTGCTGAAACCTCCGTGAACTCTATTGATATCGGATCCCCAGTAACACTCCCGTCGGGGTTACGATAGCCAGCGTAGCTAAGAATTTGGGGGTTCCACACGCGAAAGTCGTGCTTCCCATCAGTTCTTTGAGGAAATATCGTGATGGCAGAACTGCAATCAAACATTTAGACGACAACATTAAATAACCATTCTACAAGCTGGTAACATCTTGATAATACCGAATATTCCCCTTGTTGGTAGCATATTTGATGTGCTTGCACAACGCTTCAAACATTCCAGAAGTAGTCGTCACACTTCGAGCATCAAAGACCTAAATACAAAATCAGGTTAATTCATGTGCAGGGGTTTTTGCGGCTTACTCAACAAAAGATGCATGTATGGATGCAGTGCAGCTTTATGTACTTAAACATCTTATCTGTGGCGTATTTCGGAGTTAATTCCATGTTAAAATACTACACGCCCATAATTTATCATTCATTTAAACCTGTGACGGAAAAAGTCTGGGGTTTATTCTACGTATATGCGACATTCTGCATTTTCGACGATGAGTCAAGTGCCGATCCTTCACAAGGTTCACTTTCGTCATGCCTGGTAAGCAAGGTTAACGATTATCACTAGCTCGTCCTTTGTGTATGTACCGCTACCCGGTCGACATGGACCACTGCCTGCTGCGCTGACTTTCTCTCCTCTGCTGCAGACATTATTCCTGTTCTTCACTGCCAACCAGAGCAAGATATAGAATGATAAAGTAAAAGTCAAGGAATGTCGAGCAACATATATATTTATGTTTCGGTGTATGTAGTACAAAAAAGGAAAATCGTGCTATTTCCGCTCCAAAGAATTCACACTCTTGGAAATTTATCGTCTGTTTTGCTCCTCTGCTCATCCATTTTATGCAATTCGAGGGAATATATTTGTAAATGTATAATTTCAAAAGGTATGCAGTGCAAGTAGATTTTCTGTAGCAAAAATTTACAAGCTTATGCAACGTCTGCGTGGATATTAACGTTTGGCGAAGAAATAGGGTATAAACATACCAGTAGTGGCATCTGATTACCTGCAGTTTCGCCCACTGAATTCGGCCAATGCATCTCACCTGTGATTAGATAGTAATTAGTTGTTATTATAAAATATGCGAATTTTATTTGGCATTGTATCGGAAATATTTTTTGAAATCCTAACTCCAGACATTTTCTTTAATAATTTTAAGATGTATAATAAATCTCACGGAATTTCGCCACGCCAACTTTGCCCCGTACACCAACTCCGTCTCGGTGAGGGTGTAGGTACCCGTTTCCTCAATTTCTCGAATCACTTGATCCCATCTTTGACGGTGGGAGGTGGAGCTGAATCTGTGGTGAGATCAGTCATATTTCCATAAATACTCGTTTTTAATCATTCATTGGCAGACAGATGCATGTAAATGAGTTGGGAGGCGTTTTAACTTATTGATTAAGATTAATGATTCTCGCTCTTATTGTTAATTTGAAACCTTCTTTTCCATCCATGAGTAGGTACCATTTTTGGTATGAATGAAGGATAAAGCACACCCAAACTCATTCATGAGTCGTTAGAGTCAACAGTTCAAATGCGACTCGTAAGTCGTCAACAATTTAAATGCGTTTGAAAAATTAATCATTTTATTGTACCGAAATTTCCATTCATTCCTGTTCGCCATTTGTACATATGTGTGCTCGGTGGAAACATTGGATAAATAATTCACATCTCTTTTGTCCTACGTATAGCACTTGCAATTAGCAACGCACAGCTATCGAGCCAGGCTGCCTGCTTGATCTGATTGTATTTCGTGTAGCTGGAGATCACATTACTTGCGAGTTACTTTGTTTGCATCGGGGTGCCTACATAATTGACTGCAGTGGAATCGCACCCCAACAATCCGTCTGTAGCGGTTGAGACGGGACACAAACCAAAGAAAGTCTAATTTAAAAGCTGACGTAGCGTAAAATTGAAGTTTTTTGAGGTTCGAAGGTGGCGAATAAAGATATATGTATGTAAATACGTACGTACGTATGTATACCGTATATAAATCACACGGTAACAAAGCTACACTGACTCTCAACCTGAAAAGTTGTCAATGCACATTACTGTAGGTGGGCAGGCAGACTTGCAAAGCGTAACCACCACTGCGGTATCGAACCCAAATTGCAGATATTGCTCACTGCCGAAGTGCAGTAATTAAGTCGTATTGTAGTAGAATAAAGAAAATAATAAATGACTATCCACACGATGTGGGTCATGGCGTCATGGCTGATGGTACAATCGATTGCATTACATTACATTAAAATCATTAATTGCAGTTCCAAAAATTCTAATTTATTTGGAAGTTACGGCATTCAGGGAGGGTGTTTCTTGACGGGAAAAAACATAGATTCGTTAGTATAACACTGAATGAACGATATATAAGACTTTCACTACGCTGTTTTTCGTACTAATATAAATAAATACGGTCTAACTTAACTTGACTAATCTAACCGTAGTTATATGCAGCGTTAGTACGTAAGTCCAATGAACTTGAAATAAGCTAAATTGAAACTCGGATGAATAGGGATATAAAATATGTGATTTTGTTTAAAGGACGAGCTTTCCTCCGATATTATTCTGACAGCGTACATATATAACATCATGCGGCTACGAGCATAAATATTTTCACTTTTGAGTCAACTTTCAAACGGTGACTGAAGTGAAAAGAAATGAGGACGTGACATTTTTTGGTTGCAGATTTCTATACGACGAGCAGGAGAAGGACGCAGAGGAGGAGAAGATAGCACAAATAATCATGTGACAAACCTTTTGATGGAAGTGTAATACTGGTCAAAAAAATCTTTGGCGAGTTTCTTGACTTCGTCGATAGGCCGACATAACCCCGATCGTGATGTGTTCAAGGCCACCTGAAAGCATTAACGGGATTAATGGATACTTTTCAATTAAGAAAGTTATTAGTGATGTTCATTGAGACATTAAATGACATAAAATGAAATGATATTACCATGCTCCCGAGGCAGATCTGATCTGTGCACCGGCTTGTCTGCAAAAATAAAAATACATAAATAAGTACATTGACAGTGTGTAGCTACATTTTCAATAACTAGGTATATAAATATTTTTTCGCGTTGAACCAGTGTAAATTTTTAATATGAAATTGTCAAAAAGAACGTTCTTTTAGGAGGTGAATTGGCATTTGCAAATTATTTATTATTTAAACCATTTATAATATTATTTTACGGACGAAGTGTACATAATACTTTACATTTCGATATAACAATTTCTAACAATTTCTGTTGAAAATAGCATTGTCCATTATTCTGCTCTACGTTATAAACGTCCAATTCTATGGTAGATGTTTCGCATTCATACAAAAATTTGCTATTTTAAATCTAACCTTTAAATACTACTGACTAAATAGGTACATAAATATGTACTAGTGGGCAATGGAATAAATCACGTTATACAAGCCATGTTCAGTTGACGTGAATTTCATGATTTTGCTCTTTGGAGTATCCCCATTCAGTTTTCTCAACCCCAAAATATGACATAAATTCTCATTTGAAATTTAAAATTCTTGTCCACGACAAAACATGACGCATGATATTTTTTCTGCGTCTCATGCCCTCTCCTCTCCACACGTACGTATAGTATGCAAAGGCACTAAACTACATTATTTATAAAATGTATACAAGAAAAAAGCATCAAAATTCAAGGTATAAGAAAAGCAACCAACAACCATCATGAAAAGTTTTATATCATATTCTAAAATTCAAATCGAGTACTGGTTTTTTTCCCTCAAACTCATACTTTTCTGCGAATCGAAGAAAAGTTGTTTTATTTCTGAAAAAAAGTGTGAAACTTTTGAAGAGGAGTCGAATAGATATTGTACTTGGACTTTTACTTTGTAACATCATGATTATGAGCTTGGCACTTCATTTTCACGGTAGCATGTCTCCATCCATATATACTTTAGCACATATTCGTGTGCATTACCATGATAAGATCAATGCAATGAGCTTATTGAATGAAAAATGAGGTGGGAACGTGGGCTTTTGTTTGCAAAACAGGTGGGTCTCAAGCGAAGGGATCAAAGTGAAAGTATAATCGAAACTTGTTCGCCTTCTCCTCTTTTTTCTGTTCTTGTTCTTCTTCGTGGTGTGACTTTCCTTATTTTTCCTTTCTCCTGATTTGTATTTACTTTCCTCCTTCAACATCATCTACTCCGCAGCATGTGTACATATATCTGAGGCTGGATGAGGTTATATATGTTATGTGGTTTTCAGGTTTTCAGGTTTTCAGAAGAAGAGTGGGTCCTGAGTGCTCAACAACGTGCTTGAGATGGGGAGGATGAAAGGTGGGACGAAACATTGATGCTCACGGACCTTATATTCTATTCATTTTATTCTGCCTATCAAAGGGAAATCGGAAGGCGTGGTGCATTAGAGACAGGACCCCCTGAAGTACACGAGTCAAGACGTGAAACATGGGAAAAATTGGTCAATTTCATCTTCTAAGAAACTAAACGTATGTTTTACCCGGCGAGATAGCAACCCTTTCATGATTGCATAAAACTATGTGATGTAATGTGTGCATATCTCATGTAATTTAAACAAGGTCCAGAATTCCGTAGGTAACCAGTACCTCACTCAAAGGGTGACTCATGCCTGTCTCGCGATAATTATGCTACCGCCTTGCATTCCACAAGTTGTTAAGTAAAACACAATGAGCAATAGAAATTCCAGTGTTTACCTCAATTGACCTTTACAATTGAGAGAATTGTTTCAACAGGGTGAGTAAATGTCCAGCTGAGACGTTCGTTTAAACCTTTTCACTAGAAGAACTGATTGATGAGCTGCTGTTGGCTACCACTGTTGAATAAAACAAATGTGTTGTTTGGTTCGGATCTTAATCTTGAGATAGAGGCGGATATGGACAATTCAACGGGCAAGATGACCATCCTTCGCCTCGAATTAAACAGAGCGGGACAAAAAACGGTGGTGACAATGATAAAATTGGTTTCAGCAGTACATGGAATCCAACCTTGATTGAAAACAACGTACCGAGGAGGGAGTTCGACTCGGATTTTGCTGAACACAGTTAAAATCGTCTAAATGTACAAGTTGAAGAATTCGAGAATCTCGTCACGTTGATTGATGGAGCAGTTCCGAATTCCTCACTTGCTCGTCTTACTTTACGTTCTTTGTCTACCTGACTTACGAGTTGATTCTGATCTAACCTTAGCCATGCATGCATGTTGGATAACAATATTGTCGATTTCACTAATTGCACATGCAATTAGATTATTTGGGGGCAAGGTTTTGCACACTATCCGAGTTCGTAGAGGAAGGTTGAGGCCACGCTGAATCTAATTGTGGAACTGTTTTATCTTGTAGTGCAAGAACACGGGATGCATGAACTTCCCTCGTGACGTGATACTGGTGAAAGTTAATGGAACCCTTGTAAGTAGACTGGTGACTGATAGAGGAAACAGACCTTGGTCTATTTTCAATGCTTAATACAATCTGTGGAGGAGTGTACTAAGTAAGCTGTTTCACAATGAGTAGGATTTTTCTGTTGCCTTTCCTTCGAAAAGATCTTCCTCCAAAACTTGTTCAACTGTGTTCGCACTTTCTTCCTCACCGCACTAAATCAAACAACTTTCCAGCCTTTCAGGTCTCGCGAGGAAAAGCATATCCTCGTAATGAGCATGTCAATTCTAATCGCTGCCCGACAAAGCATGCACTCACCCAGAGTGTGTAAGATGCTAAATTAATAGATTTTTTTTCAAACTCCTTGACGAAATTTGGATGAAATGCAAGAAAGTGGCGTTGATGACATAACTGCGCAGCATATTATTTCGGAACAATCTTAGCTTTTCACAAGAGCGTATAACGTCTTGTGTGTTACGAGTGCCAACAAGTATGCAGGGTGAAAGTTACAATAAATCTGCATATGTACATAGATGTGGAACTTTGCATATATAAATAGATGTGGAGTGTAACTTTGCATAAGTACATATAACGAAGGAAAGAAAGAATGCACACACTTACGTAACTCGTAATATATTATTTACCATCATCATTAACGTATTGATCCACTGACGCAAAATAAATTTAATCCCGTGACTCATTGTGAAGTGAGAGTGTCAATTTTCAACTGTATTGTAGACTCAAGAAATAAGAAAGAAGGAGAAAGTGAGAAGCGAAGTGGTGCCAAATGTGGATTCAATGACGAGGAATTGTTGTGACAAGATAAATTTCAGGAAAGAGTTGATCATTTCCAATCCGAGATTACAGCGCTGTAATGCGATTAAATGTCATTCATTGCTGTTTGCTTCAGAAGAAAGCCCAGAAATAAGGAGAATATCTGCGATCAAAGTGTATCACACTTGGACAATGGAACACATGTCGACTAATTCTGCATATGAATATCACATACGAACACAAAATAATTGTAATGAGGTCTAGATCATAGTGACAAACTAATCGTCAAGTGAAGGTCAAGATTTTGACGTCATTTGAATTTTATGCATCTTAAGAAATCTATTTTAAGTTTTAAGAAGAATGCATGATTTCTATTTTAAGCATAAGTTTAATATTTTTCTAAAAATGCAATATTAATATCCAGCAAGAGGACAACTATTATTCAGACAGACATAAATACGGGATATCAATTTTCAAGTCTGTCTCACCCCACAGACAACCGGAATACTTATGAAAACTGAGAATTATCTAACCACCACAGAAACGTCTGTACTCTGTGTTGTGGTCGAGTCGAGTTGAATGTGGAGTTTAGCGTACGAGTATGCATTTGTGATTTATGAAACCCTTCTCCCTTTCTTGTACGATGGTCTAAAACATTTTATTGCCTGTATTTATCATCATGTTGTCCGCATCGCAAAACTCGGTCAGGAAAATGAGAAATGTTTATTCGGACACATGCCAACTTGAGCGGTCAAGTACCAAAAATATAAATGCACCCGTATTATTTTAATTATTCTCAAAATACTCCCGGTTTCAGCTGATCATTCGTTGCCAATTATTGCGTGATGCTGCATATTTATACCCCTCAAAGATGTTTATTTACATTTAATATGCATACTAATGGCATCATAAGATACGTACATAAATGGCGAGAAGGGCGCAGTGGAAACGTCACCAGTCGGATTCAAGATCACTTGATAGTTCCGCCGTCGGATGCTCAGTTTGGGATTCTGCAGCTGGAAATCTAGCGATGATTGATGATTCCTGGTCGCGTCTCCCCATTCATTCATACCTGACGTATGTTTATCCTCTTAAGAAATAAACGTCTCAAATTTGACAAAAACTTCTAAAAAATTGGTCACTCTGCCAAATCATTTAATATCCACCAATATGAACCTACTGTCAGTGAGGCCATTGCCTTTACACCTTTTCCTGGCTATTTCTTACACAGGGTAGAAACCCGCTTGTCGACTCTCTTAAATAAATACGTAGTGGCTTTGTAAAATTAGAAAAACGAATTTATTGCGTCCGTTTCATGCCGATCGGGCCACCTTGAGGTACATAAATATTGAGAGAAGACACTCATTAACCTGACCGACTTTACAATCTGATAACAACACAACATGTGTTTCATTTTGCTATAAAGTAATTATCGGGATTCCTGATATCGATTGATTATTGACAATGTCACAACACAACATTCTGCCTGACATTGAGAGCCGCATTTCATCCGTCTGTCTGCATTGCGTAACCTGTACATACACCGCCACTTATTGGATGCATATGTACGTATTGCAAATTACTCTGTCAACTCTAGCCGAACCGACACCGAAATAAAACAGAAATAAAACTTCCTGTTGAATAAAAAACCAATCTTTCCTACTTCAATTTATTTGTTTCTTGTGATTCTTATTAGTTTCAGCTTATTGGAGCCATGTCAGTGTTATAATTGAGTTGAATTATTTCTAGGATGAGTAATAAGTACGATGCCAAACTAAAGCACGTCTGCCTCCGAAAAACCGATTCTCCTCTAAACTCTAAATTTTACACACTTTTA